CAGAAAATGTTTGCTGCTGCCATCAACTGGCTTGGGCTCAGGGACCAGAGGCAGGATGTGCCCCCGAGGAGCTCCCAGTCTTGGGGAGCCAACGTGCTCCCCAAGGGAGGTCCCTCCTACCCCAGCCACCTGGGGTAGGAGGCAGAGGGTGGAACCATTTCATAAGGGGGAGGCTGTTGCACTGGTTGGAGAAGGCTCCAGGAGAAGGGGGCCTGTGCCAGGAAGGGCTCTCACCAGGCAGTGGGGGGAGGGGCAGACCATTCCAGGTGGAGGGAAGAGCAGAGCAAAGGAGTGGACAGTGGACCCGATGACCCGTGAGTAAGTGGGGTCCTGCAGGGCGGGGCTTGATCCTACCTTCTGCATCCAACATCTTGGGGATGTCCAGGTATTTCTCTGCCACTTTGAAGGCAGTGTCCAGGTTGCCGATGGGGTCATCCTAGATGGGTATGGGGGAGCCAGGGAGAAGGTCAGCTGAGGGCAGAGTTGGGGAGTCGGGGCTGGGGCGGTGGAGACCGACCTTGCGTAGTTTGGTGTAGTCAAAAAGGTCAGGTTGGTGTCGGTGGATAAGAGCAGAGGGCCAGGCCGTCCTTCCACCTGAGCGGAGGGGAGGGGTGGGTCAGACCAGGCTCAAGTCGATGCCCCGTCCTACCCTCGTCCCTGGAGCACCCCATCAGGGTAGCCCCTTCTGCAAACGGAAGGAAAGTCCAAATTCCTCAGCTTGGCATTTGAGACCCTTCCTTGCCAGGTGTGGATGCTCCTCCCAGCTCATCCCTGCCCTGTACACATCTGTGCTCGGGCCACACTGACTTCTGGGTATTTCTAGCCTCTAGGTCTTTGCTCACAAGGATCCCTCAGGCCAGCATGCCCGGCCAGCCCTGGCTCAAAGGCTCCCTTCTCCAAGATTCTTTCTAAATCTCCTGGATTCAATATCGACATCAGCTGTGAACGCTCCTCTTTTCACTCCAGTTGCAGAAGCGTCCCATGACTTCTGCTCCCCTGGGGCCCGTGACGGGCCGGCAGCTGGCTGAGGCCTGTGTGTGCGCACTGCCCAGGCAGACCTGGTGTGGAAGTTCTGCACGTCGGCATTGCAGTAGGGAGCTGTCTTCCGCTGGCACCACAGGGGAAGCCCTCCTTTGCCGAGGTTTCTGGGTGGGGTTGGGGGGCCACGTGAATTGTGGGGGTCTGAGGAAGACTTCACACCCTACCTGCTACCCAAGCACTCACTCTCCACAGTGGTGTCCTGGATGGCGAAGTGGAGGATGATGGTCCAGATCATGTCCAGGGTCATCTTCAGGTTCCCGTCCACGATCTCTGCAGAGCAGGCGAAATGGTTCCACGCAGCCAAGCCCTGCACTTGGGGCCTCGTCAGCCTTTCCCCTGCTCCACCCTCTGGCCCTTGTTCCCACCGCAGGTCTGGAACCCAGTAGGTGCTTAATGAACAACTGTGGTAGCTTAGATGATTCATGACAACTTCCAGGGGCCAGGTAATGTGCCAGCACCCCGAATACACCTGCTTCCTACAGCCCCTCCTGTGAGGTATGGATGGTTACCCTCACTTTTTGAGATGAGGAAACCAAGGCTACAAAGGTGACTTGCAGAGGTCAAGAATGGCCCCCATGCACTCCCCACATTACCTCCTGCCACCGCCTCACCTTTGGCACCAATGGACACCAGCTTCACTCCTTGCTGACGATGAAGTTCAGGGCCTTGTTGACGTTGGCAATTTTGTGTAAGTGCATCTTGCCTTTGTCTGGCCTGGGCAGCCACTCACCTGGGTGTCAAAGGTCATGAGAGGCAGTAGGAGATGTCCTCAGACTTCCCCCTTCTTCACTATGTCCCCTTAGAAGCACTCTGCTGCCATATTCCCCCAGTTCTCTGGGGTCCCTCAGTTCTTTGGGGTCCCAGGGCACTGATATGCACTCCTCACCTGAAATGACCACCAGGAGTAACATGAGTTTGAGGCCGTTGCGGAAGTCATCCTCGATATTCTCTATCTGGGTGCTGGCCTTGAGCAGGTGCAAGTTGCACTGGGCAGTGAAGGTCTGCAGGGGAGGGCAGTGCTCTGGGGCTGGGGGAGGTGGGCCTGGTCCTGATTCTGGGTCAGGGTAGAGCTGAGAGCTGGAAGCTGAGAGCTGGACCCCGGCTCACCCACTGACTTGTGCACCTGGGGCCAGTCCCTTTCCCTGTCTGAGCTTTAGTTCTCCTGGAAGAGCAAAAATGGTGCACGCTCCTTGCTACCAGCACGCCAGCTTTGGCCAGCCTCAAGCACTGGAGGAGAAGTTCAAAAATGATACAGCAGACACACCAAAGTGTGGGCCCCCCTCGGGTGCAAAGGCCAGGCAAGGTGAGGCTGCCTCTAAAATCTGTACCGTGGGCCTCCCCGGTGGCGCAGCGGTTGGGCGCTGGGTTGCGAAGCTGCCCGCAGCCTCTGCAGCGCCCGTTCGATCCCCGGCCGCCGGGCAAGGGTCCCACATGGCGTGCAGACCTCTCCTGCCGCCCGCTGCTCCCCTCAGCAGTGTACTTCAGTCCTTCTGCCTGCTCTGCTCCCCGCTCTGGCTCTGGTGAATTCTCTCACCCTCCCACGCTTCTGATTGTACCCAGTGCTTGTGTAAATAAATAAATAAATCCTTAAAAATAAATAAATAAAATCTGTACTGTTCTGGATGGAAGTCCATCTGGCTCGAGGGGTTGGGTCAGCTCTGGACTGGGTGGGCAGCAAGGCAGCTCTGGGCGGGGCCTGCATGCAGGAGGAGGACGCTCTTTCACTCAGCCCTGAAGGAGAGGTGGCCCTTGCCCTAAAGGAGGCCCTTGCCCCACAAGTAAAGTCATGTTTGCCTGAAGAGTGATGGGAGACACTAGAGTTGGGGACTCTTGGGGATATTTCCAAGGCGGGTGGGGGAAGGCTAATCCTTGACCACAGCTGTGATGGAAGAGCAGGGCAGGGCAGGTGAGGGCGTCCAGGCCTCAGCAGCCACTTGGGCCAGGGAAACGGTGGCTAGGTTTGTGGGGCGTCAGCTATCTGGGCACTGCTGGGATGAGGCTGGAGGGGTGGGGGCATACGTGCTGAGAGGCAGGCTGTTGGCAAATGCTGAGTGGGGTCCAATGATGTCATGGTAACCTCCGGAGCCCTCCACCACAGCCTGCCTTTCCCCAGAATTTCCTCACTCCAGCGGGGTCATTTTCTTTCTTGGGAACACAGGTATCCTGCCCCCTCCTTTCGGGAAAGTCTGGGTGTGAAAGTAGATCAGGGAGGGGAGAGCTGAGTGCCCCACAAGGCTGGTCTGGGCAGCAGCTGCCCATGTGCCCCTCTTTTGCTCCCCCCAGGTGCTGCCTTAGCATAAAGTGTCCATCTGGCCAGAGTCAGGTTACTGCAAAGAGGCCCAGGGCTCCCCTTCTCGCTGACCTCTTGGCCTTTTCAGCCTACTCAAGGTCCCTGGGGAGGGTATTGTGGGCAAAGTTGGGGTGGGGCAAGCAAGGGGCAAAGATTCTCAGGTTGAGGCTCCTATTTTCTGACTGTATGATTTGGGTCCTATCTCCCCCCCGGCCTTTCTAGGCCTCAGTTTCCTCATTTGACAATTGGGAAAGCCTGATTGGGACACTGCCAGAAAGAGAGGATGGGAGGGGTCTGGAGTAGTCCCCTGCCCCACTTCCAAGGCCCCCTAGTTGCAAGGCTGCATGTCCTCCTGTAGGGTCTGGGAATATTTAAGTAGAAAGTGGGGGGTATGGGGAGCATATTCTTCCCTACCCCCCCCAACTTGGATCTCCTGGGCACTGCCCAGCGGCGATGGCCAGCAGAAGTGGGGCAGTGGGCCCAGGGAATGAACCCCGGGGGATGGGGGCCCCAGAAACTTTACCATCCTCAGCCCCTCACGAGGGCTCCCCACCCTCCGTCCTTCAGCTGACGGCTGATGGGCAGAGCCTGGGCTGGGGAAAGACTGGGTCTGGGCAAGCTTTGCTCCCGACCTGCGGAGACGCCAAGGACAGAACCTCTGGCTCCGCAGGCCGCGGTTTTGCGGCTGGGACGGGCGAGCGCTCGCTTTCCGCGGCTGCCCCTCCCGGGCCGGGTCCAGCGGCGGGTCGCGGGCCCGTCTTCCTCCCGTTCAGCGCCCTCGCCGCCGCGCGGCCCCGCCCGGCACCCGGCCCCTCGGGGTGCAGAACCTCCTCTGTCAGGCTCGCCCCCCCGCCCCCCCCGCCCCGCCAGGCAGCGTCCAGCCCAGCCCGGGGTCGGATTCGCTCTAAACACGGGGACGGGGAGGGCCCGGGATGGGGCGCGGGCGCTCGGGTCCGGGCTAAGCAAGAGGTGGCCCTGAGACCGGGGAACTGCAGGTTTTGGGGGACTCTGGGGCTCGCGTCCCGGCTCCGCCGCTGGGAGCTGCGGCCTCCGGACACCCAGGGGCGCTCCGAGGGCCCCGCGGGCGCGCCCGGGAGTGAGCCGACGGCGGGGCGGGCCCTCGAGCAGCGGCCCCTGGGGTCTCTGAGCGTCCTCCCGACCCTCCTGCCGCCGCGCCGCCGGGAGCGGGGAGTCCCAGCCCCTGTCACCGGGAGGCACCGCGAGGCGCTGAGCCGTTTGGAGCGTTTTCTGGGGTGATGAGGGGAGACGCTCGAGCACGAGGAGGGGCTCCAGGCCCGCGGGATGGGCCGAGCAGGGCCATTAATACCGGGGCGGCCGGGGGTGGGGTGAGGGGAATGCGCTGAGCAGGGAAACCCCGAGGCAAAGGGAGGGCGCCCCTCAGGCCAGCCGCCCGCAGCCGGACCCGGCTCCTGGCCGCGCGGGGCGGGGCGGGGCGGGGCCTCCTCGGGGCGGGGCCCAGCCGGGGGCGGGGCCTCGGGTCGCCGCCCGGGCTCCCCCGCCCACCGGAGTCCCGGCGTCGCGTTCGCTCGGCCGTGCGTCCAATCACGTCTCTGCATCTGCAGGCGGCGGCCGGCGCGGCCGAGCGCCCGCCGCTCCCCTTCTATTGGTCGTCGCAGACGTCCTTCTGCCTCTGTGCCCGCCCCAATGCGGAAACGGCGCGGCGCTCGCGCTCCGACCGCGCAGGGTGCGGGCCATGGGGCAGCCCTGGGCGGCGGGGAGCTCCGAGGGGGCGCCCGCGCGGCTGCCTCTCGTGCTCACCACGCTTTGGGCTGCGGCCGTGGGCCTGGAGCTGGCCTACGTGCTGGTGCTGGGCCCTGGGCCGCCCCCGCTGGGGCCCCTGGCCCGCGCCCTGCAGCTGGCGCTGGCCGCCTTCCAGCTGCTTAACCTGCTAGGCAACGTGGGGCTGTTCCTGCGCTCTGACCCTAGCATCCGCGGCGTGATGCTGGCCGGCCGCGGGCTGGGCCAGGGCTGGGCGTGAGTGGGGCTCGCGGCTCGCTCGGGGAGCAGCGGGGGCTTTGGACAGGGAAGGGAGGGACCCTGGGCGCTGAAGGTGTTAGTGCCACATTACAGTAGGGTCCGCGCGTTCGGGCCGGTGTTCCTCGGAACCTGGCATGGTAGAATTAAGGGTATCGCTCATTCACCCCTTGGGTGCAAGGCCCTGTTCTGGGCACTGGCGGTACAATAAAGCAGACCCCTGACTTCCTGGAACTGATTTCAGTGGGGGAGGAGGCAGATGATAAATTATGGGCATAATAAATAAGCAATTAGAGTGTTAGGAGTGGTGGTGATATGGAAACAAATTAGAACAGGGTTAAGGGGGCACGTTGCGGTCTGGAATGGGCAAAGTCGGCCTCACTGACAAGGCTGGCATTTGAAAATCAAAGACTTGAAGGAGGTGGTGGAGTTAGCCATGTGGGAATCTGGGGGGAAAGTGTTCCAGGCACAGGCAACAGTGCAAAGGCTGTGAGGCAGCTGTGGCCTGGCCTGATTCCGCAACAGCAAGCTCAGCGTGGCTGGCGTGCAGTGAGAGCCAGGAGGAGGGAGGTTTGCCTGTAAAGATTATGTAGGACATCCAGTGCTTTGCTTCTTGCGGGAAGTGAAATGGAGAGCCATTGGAGGGTTTGGAGCAGAGGAAGGACACGCTTTAGATTGTAAAAGGATCACTCTGGCCACTGGGGGGAGGCGACACTAAAAGGGGACAATGTTGGAATCTGGTGTACAGTCAAGGTTGAACTCCTCCAAGGAGTTCCTGGTGACTTAGACCCAGGAGGAAGAAAGATGTTGGAAATCAGAGGCCAGAGAAGCGCCTGAGGACTGGGGGTGTCAGAGCTGGGGGACCTTCCCTGCAGTGCTCGACCCAGGAGGACGTGGGAAAGGTTCAGCCTGCATGCACCCTTGACCAACCTGGGGCTTGTGAGGGCGGTGGCTGTTCTGCTCGCCCAGGAAGGGATTCTGGGCTAACCCTGGGCATGACCAGGGCACCTAGAACTGATGGGGGAACTGACCCTGGGGTTCTCTCCCTGCAGTTACTGCTACCAGTGTCAAAGCCAAGTGCCTCCGCGCAGCGCGCATTGCTCCGCCTGCCGGGTCTGCATCCTGCGCCGGGACCACCACTGCCGCCTGCTGGGCCGCTGCGTGGGCTTCCGTAACTACCGGCCCTTCCTGTGCCTGCTGCTCCACGCTGGCGGCGTCCTGCTCCACGTCTCCGTGCTGCTGGGCCCCGCCCTGTCGGCCCTGCTGCGAGCCCACGCGCCCCTCCACACTGCCGCCCTCCTCCTGCTGCCCTGGCTCATGCTGCTCACAGGTGGGGAGCTGCAGGCGTTCCCCGGGGAGACAGGAGGCTCTGGAATGGGCCATCTGGTAGCAGATGGGATTTCTAGCTAGTCCTGCTGGCCCTACCCTGGGGACCCAGCCCAGTGTCATCAATGGAGGGTGAGAACAGCCTGGTATTCAACGGGTATTTTACCTGCATGGCAAAATACAGGACCTCCACGTTGGAGTTTTGGCTGGGACGATCAGGGAAGGATTCCAGCAGGTGTTAGCAGGGGGGGAGAGTCTAGTGGGAGTTCTTGGGCATGGGGCAGGAGGATGGCGAGGCAGGTTTAAGGGCTGGGGGCATTCTAAGAAAGAGGAGCGGTGAGAGCAAAGGCAGTTTGAGGGGGATTGTGTGAGTAAAGGCGAGGGCGGCGGGTCAGGTAGGGCTGGGCAGCAGAGGGCTTTGATGCTGGTGTGAGAGGCTGGCCTGTCTTTGACAGGGCAGTGGGGAGCCAGTGAGAGTCCCACCCAAGGAAGCTGGGAGGGAAGGCTTGCATTCGGAGGCTGATTGAGGGGCTGTGTTCTGGATGACCGTTTATTCCTCTTCCCTGGGGCACCACCCAAGATAAAAGGCCCACAGGCCTGTCTTTGTTTTCTGCCCACCAAAATGCTCTGGGCTCTTTGTCTTCCCTGACTGCTTCCTCCCGACCCCTTTGTCGTATTGTTCTGTATTTGCTAAACTCCCTGCCTCTCTGAACAGTCTGCCCCGCCCCCTCCTCTCCAAGCCCTGTTCCCAAGGACTCTCTCCTGCAGCCCCCAGAGGCCCTGGGAGGCCCAGTGCTGTTGCCAGAGCCTTCCTCTGCCCACATTGGCTTCCCCAGCAGGCCTCCACACCGTGACTCCCCCATCAGTCTCTCCCACAGAGACTCAAGCTCTCCAGCTGTACCTCCACCCGCAACCCCTATGGTCATTGCTGGCCCCGCTCTAGTGCCCCTCCCCCCCACCTCTCCCCTTCCCCCGTCCCTGAGACTTGGTCTCCAGCACACAGTCTCTCTCAGCCCCAGACCCTGTCAAGATCATGAGGTCTGAGGGTCTGGGCAAACCGTCCAGCCGGTGCCCGATGGCTCAGCTTCCTGACTTTCCCCTCCATTTGACTTCCTTTGCCTCCCTCACATGCAGACCTTGTCAGTCCACCAGCCTCCTCTCCTGCCCCCTCTTCCTCCATTCCTCCATGACACCTGCTCCTTGAGCTGCTAGGTTCACCTGTCCATCAGCCCCATCCCTCCTCACCGCCTGGGTCCACTTGACACTCCCTCTGTTTCCTGCCAGCATCTCCAGCTTCTTGGCTCTGTCTTCCTTCCGCTGCGCCTCTGGCTTCTCTGACTCTTCCCTGGGCCGCTGGGAGCTGCCAGAGACTCATGAGCTTGCTCTCGCTAGTGACTTAATCCTTCTACTCTCCCGTCCTTCAGCCTCCACTGCTCATGAAAAGTCTTCACAGAGAAAACAAGACATCAGATGGTCCAGCCAGAATTGTCCTTCCTCAGGTTGCTGAGCTGCCAGCTTCTGCTGGCCAGGGCCCTGGTCCCTGCTCCCCGCCTCACACCCAGTCCTCTGTGCCAGCCTCCCAGGCGCCCTCTGCTGGTCTCATTTGGGTTTTCCCCATGGAGTAACCACCCCACGTCTTTCCTTCCCTCTTGCCCTGTTGCTCTCCTGTCAGCAGCTGAGCACCTCCAAGGACTTGTCTGGGCTCCTGGGCTGCTTCTCCTCACCTCCCACTCTCCCATCCCCCCCACCTGCCCCAAATGGCTTTTGTCCCCTTCCCCTCTCCTGCCCCCCTCCAGGACTGCTGCAATCCCCAGACCTCTGTCTCCACCAAAACCAAGGGCCCTTTGGGATTCTCTTCTACCTTCCTGGACCTTCAACCTCATGGGAGGGCTGGCATCCTCGAAGGGGGTTCTGCCTTTGGCATTGCCAATAGCTTTGGGGTGCTTTCAGTTTTCTTCCTTTCCTGTTTCCCTTTTTTCTGGTCCCTAAGGACCCGATTTCCTGGTGCTCAGGTCCAGGCGCCTCTCTCACTTCCCTTTCCACACTCGGGTAGGCCAGAGGATCTCCTGTGTCCCAGCTACTCCCCAATGTGCTTGTTCAGCCTGGGCTCTCTCTCCTGAGTTTCCAGAACTATCCACTCACTCATCTCCAGGCACCTCTCTGTCCTGTCTCCAGACCTTCAAACAGAACATTTGCTCCCTTTTCTGCCTGGCAAACACCTCCTTAACCTTCAGGACCCCCCACAATGTCACTTTCTGTTACATCTTAATACATCAGCAAAGGCATCGCCTACCCCTTCCATAGGCTCTTTTTTATTGGAGCAAAATTCCCGTAACGTGAGGCTCATCATTCTTCCCATTTTCAAGTGCACAATCTCTGCTCTTAGTCCATGCCCAGGGAGGCAAACATCACCACTATCTAATTCCAGAACATGGTCATCATCTTAAAAAGAAACCCGTTGAGCACTCAAGCCCCTTACTGCGAGGTCCCCCACCCCCTGGCAACCACTAATCTATTGTCTGTACCCGGATTTGCCTGTTGGGGCCATTTTATAAATGGCGACATACCGTAAGCGACCTTTCATGTCTGGCTTCCTTCACGGAGCATAAAGGTTTTGTGGCATCTTGTGGCTCATTGGTTCAGCAGATAGTTCTTCCCTCCTGTGGATCAGGAGGGCCCAGAGCACGACTCCATCAGCGTCACACATGTCCCAGTGGTGATTAAGTCGCTGAGGTCAGAGATCATCTGTGTGTCCAGCCCCTGGAGACACCCAGCGTTGGTGAAGCGTGGGTGGCAGTCGTATTTCTGGTGTGTTCCATCGCTTAGCAAGGGCTGGCCAAGCGACTCCATGTTTGCTGAGCAGAGGGGTCCCGGCTTCAAGGGGGAGGAGAGAAGGTGCAGGGTGGCTGGAGCTGGGCGTTGGGAGGACTGGCCTGCGCCGTTCCCTCACCTGCTCTGTTCTTTCTCTGCAGGCAGAGTGTCTCTGGCGCAGTTTGCGCTGGCCTTCGTGACCGACACTTGCGTAGCTGGTGCCCTGCTGTGCGGGGCTGGGCTGCTGTTCCACGGGATGCTGCTGCTGCGGGGCCAGACCACGTGGGAGTGGGCTCGGGGCCAGCACGCCTACGACCTGGGTCCCTGCCACAACCTGCGGGCAGCCCTGGGACCCCGCTGGGCTCTCGTCTGGCTCTGGCCCTTCTTGGCCTCCCCGCTGCCTGGGGACGGGATCGCCTTCCAGACCACAGCTGATGGGGTGGCTTCCTGACTCCAGGAGGAGCCAGGGTGCACAGGGATGGGGGAGCGTGGTGGGGCAGCCAGCACGCATTCCGGCCTGCCTCCACTGGCCTCCGGAAGGAGGCAGGTTGGTACTTTATGCTGGCTTTTGGCAACTCCAGCCCCATCCTTAGCTGCGTCCCTCCTAGTTTGGGCTCCTAGTGTCCAGGGCTTGGGCCCTGCGGCTGCCCACGGCCCCCGAGTACAGTGTTGGGTCTGGCAGGGGCTGCTCGGCTGTCTTACTGCCCCTTTGCCGGGTTAATAAAACACCACTTACTTCTTGGACCCCCTGCACGTCTGTAGGGTTTTAGCCCCCACCGTGGCCTGGGCTGCGGTCTCGGGTTCCTCTGCTTGTCAGACGGGGGGAGCCAGAGATGGAGCCAGAGATGCCGAAGGTGCGAGGGGTCAGGGCACTGCCTCTGCCTGGTGGGGTGGGGGGTGGGGCAGCAGTAGGACAAGGCGGCTTGTGGAGACCCAGGGCTGGCGAATCCAAGTTCACTCCCAGTTGCTTCCTGGTTGGTAGCATCTCTGCCACAGTGGTCTCACCAAGTCTCTAGCTAACCTGGCACTCGGCGGCAGTTGTGTGGGTGAGAAACCTGCGAGCTGTTAAGCAGTCAGGTTGCGAGTGGAGGGGCGAGGCTCGGAACCCAGAGGGCCGTGCTTTCTCGGCCCCCTCGCACAGCTGAGGCGAGTGAGGCAGGTGGCGAAGTCAGGTGTCCAGCCTTTTCATTTAAAAAGAGTGCGAGGCCTTCTGGCTAGCTTGGCAGGAGCAAGCGCAGGGGTTTCTCTCTGTCTCTTCTTAAAGTCTAGAATGATAGTAAAGAAGTCAGGGATCAGTTTCCAAGGAGAAGCCGGAGGGGAGGTAGTGGTGGAGCCGAGAGCCTGTCGTGAGAGGAAGCAGTGGAGGAGCCTTCATTCTCGTAGGGAATTGGACGCTGTTCCCCGAGGCGCAGGCTGAGGCGCCATCCAGAACTGCGGAGGGCTCAGGAATCCACCGGCGCCGCGGAAGGCGAGGTCCGGCTTGGTCCAGCAGCGGGGCTGGATGCCAAGTCTGCATAAGGGGCAGCTAGGCTGCCCTCTCCCCAGACCCCTCAGGCCCAGCAGCTGCCTCTCTCGCATGGAGGCGAGGGCTTTTTGGTCTCTGTGGCCTCAGGGGCACCAGGGAGGCTGAGTGTGAGGGACTGGACCAAAAATAGAGTGAAGTGGGAAAGTTTCTATGTAGATGCTGCTGTTGTGGAGAGGTCTTCCAGTGACCTGGCCAGCTTGCCCCCCAAGAATCCTCAGAGAAGCCCACCCTCCTGACAGGCACTGCCCTCAGCAGTTTGGGCTGCTAGGTCTTTGTGTGTTCTGTTTTTCAGAGGGTACGTGCTGTTCCTTTTTGTAAAGTTCAAACTTGGGTGCCTGGCACCGAACCATATACCGAGTGTCAGGAGACCTCTGCCCTCCCGAGTGACCCCTCAACCTCCGAAACAGCTTTTCTTTGTTTGGTGTTGTTCATTCAATAGTGAGGAGATGCGAGAGAATGTTAATAAAATAATTCCTCTTGAAGCAAGGAGCACTGTGGTGCTCTTGATCGGCCCCCGGCTTTGCTTTGTTGTTTTATTACATGTGTTTGTGTTGGCTTGCATGTTTGGGGACTTTATACACATTGAAGCATACCATGTTTACTCCGCTGCGACCTGCCTTTTCCCTCCATATTATGCTCCTGAGATTTATCCTCCTTTTCCTGCTTTACAAATCAGCACTGCTGTATACAAGTTGTTTTTCTGTTTTGCCCTCTTGGCCATTTTGTCTGCGCCTGTGTATGATCCTTTAAGATTTATTCTTGACCCGTGTTCTTCTGTATAAATTTTAGAACTAGTTCATCAAAGTCCACCAGTAAAACCTCTCTGAGACTGTAAATGGAGCTTGGTTGAACCTGGAAGTCAGTCTGGGGAGAATGACCATCTATGTGAAATTGAATTTTCTGGTTCATAAACATGGTGTATTTCCATTTAATATTTTCAATAAAGTTATACACTGTTCTCATAAAAACTTGGTCATGCCCCACAAGCCTGAGTGTCTGCCACAGCCAGGCAGCTCCTGGTCAGAGAGGGGACGCTGGAGGCCGTCACAGTGACTCAGAGACTGCCCTGGCAGCAACAGAGGGCAGTGAGGTAGGCCGGGGCACTGGCCAGGGGCTCCAGGAGGCAGTGAGCCTGGAGAGGGCTACCTGCCTGGTGGTGTAGACATGCCTCTGCATGCCCAGCCTCACTCAGCGCCAGCTAATTCTCTCCACTGACCTTGGCCCAGTGAACTCATCCACGTGACTGACCTAGGCACAGACGAGCATCCTGAGGGCATTCCCTCCTGGGTGCCCCAGCCATGCTCTGCTCTGCCCAGCTCAGCCTTCTTTCTCCGGGGATGCTATCTATCCTGGGGTGAGCGGCCAGGTGGGGTCCTGAGACTGTGTGGTCCTTAGGTCCCGGCGGGGCTGGGGCCTCCAGCTCCCTGAGCGAGCACCCCCCTGCCCCAGCAGCTCTTCCACTGGTGCTCCTCTAGGAGCAGGGGAGGCCGGAGGCCTTTGCTGAGCCTAAGAATGGAGAGGGGCCCCTTGTCTGGGTCTTGAGAGAACAGCATGTGTTCTGCCTACAGTGGAGCCTAGGTAGCCAAGTCTCTGGGACCCCAGGGAGCAACAGGGGGCCACGCTCACCCAAGAAAAGCCTGACTGCCCCAGGTCAGACCCTCCCAGTTATGGCCATGGCCCTGCTCTGGCCACTTTGGGGCTCTTCCTTCAGGCTTGGGTGTGGTTTCTAGAAGCAGCAGCTGGAGTCCCTGGGTTTTCCCGAGTGAAAGGAGCTGAGTGTCCTGGGTACTCAGTGTCCTGCTACGAGAGGTCCCTGAGGGTGGTGAGAAGGGTGTGTTTAGGAGAGGAGGGAAGTTGTCACCCCAGCAGGCTGCTGTGCAGGGAGTAGCCCAGGCCCACCACATGCGCAGCTCAGTGGGAGGTGCCGGATCTTCCTGGCTCAGTCCACAGAGGTTGCACCAGCAGCCCAGAGCTCAGGCAGCTGCCAGCCCCTCGCTCACCGGCATGTTGATGTGAGCACTCAGCAGGGGCGCGCTCTGGCCTTCTCGAAGCACCAGCGCCTATGGAGGAGGTGTTCATGGTTATAGAGAGCTTGTCCCCTTCACCCCAGCTCCCTGCCAGGGTCTGCACTGGCCCTAATAGCAGGCCGCCAGGGCCCTGTCAGAGGTAATGGGGAAGCTGGAGGCAGCTTCTGTGGAAATGCCCACCCACACCCAGACCCCCGGGCCTGTCCACACTCACCCTCCCTGCCCTCTGGTACGACAGGTGACCTACCTTGATGATGTCTGAGACGCCCTTGTCACTGAGACTCTCCACGAAGGTCTCCAGAGGGTAGTTGATCCCTGGCACCAGCAGGGGGACCTAATTTGGGGGACAAAGAGGTAAGGAAATCAGCTCTTGTGCCTGGACAGAGTTGGGCAGATGCCAGAGCTCTCACGCCTGCTGGGCACTCACTCTCTGGGCGCCTGTCAGGAAGTGAAGCCCACAGGCTCAGTGCAGGGCCACAGCGTGTCCTAAGAGATGTCTGGACTCCTTGAAGGTCAGGGCTATTTCTTCACATGCCAGAGTCTCTGTTTCTCATTCTCCTAATTTAGGGTCAAATCTGGGCCCTGGGGGAAATCAGGCCCTTTACTCTGAGTTTCCTCAGGCAGAGGTGTCCCGGCAGTCCTGCTGCAGCAGTGGCTTTAGAGCAAGGCAGGCTGAGAGCTGCCAGCGCTCACTGGCTCCTGAGCAGCATGGGATGAACTCTGACTGTCCGCACCATGTGGCTGGGAGGGGCTGGGAGGGCCGCGCGGCAGGTCTTGGGTGCTGGCCCCAGAGGCCCCTGCTGCACGCCAGCTGGGCCTTTGGTTGTGCCACCTGCCAGCCCCTGCCTCTGACCTGCTGGGGCCCTGTCACAGGGAGGGGGCGCTACCTTGAAGAAGGCCCGGGGTAGCGCGTACAGCGTCTCGTTGTACAGGAAGCACACCAGTAGCCCCAGGATGGGGCGGGCGGTGGAAGTGTTCTGTAGGTGAAGTGTGAGCTTAAAGGTGGGGCCGAGGCCCTGGACCTGTGTGGGTGGAGAAAGCAAGCCCTTAGGGCCTAGTGGTCTGGCATAGAACTCGGTGCCCTGGCCCTGCCGCCTGCTTCCCCATCGACACTCCCAAGTCACCCTGCTCCGGCTGCTCTAATGCCCCAGCCCTGCAAGAGGCGGGGAGCCCAGAAGGTGGGCACATGCATACAGGGCTCAGCGCGGGCCCGGAGAAGGAAGGGCCCTGGGGGCCACCCAGCCAGGAGGAGGCGGAGCAGGCTGGGCGCAGGCCTCCTCCCTCTTGGATCCTCACCACTGCGCCAGCCTGTTCCACCTCCCACTCAGCCCGTGGGGGCCGCAACGACACCATTCTCCTCTATCAACCCACTTTAGGGGAAGAAATCAGAAAACCCAGCGTGGCTCCACCGAGGCCTAGCGGCCCCTTCCTGGTATCAGGCAGTCCCGTCCCCTGGGGTGGCCTGCGCTCACTGAAGCAGACAGTATTCCGCCAGGTCCCAGAGCTGTGAGACTCTCTCCACAGCTGACTCTGGGGCGTCCTGCCCCAAGTCTGGAGGCTCGTTTGAGGACAGTGTGCCCCTCTCTGCTGCCAGCACAGGGGAAGAGCGGAGGGGAGCACATGAGGCTGGGCCCTGGGTCTATGGGGAGATAACAAAGGGCCTATGTGGCTTGGTTTCGGCTCTGGGGCTTCACTGTGCAGACACCTCGACTTCTACCCTGACATGTGGGGGCTCACCACGGCGTGCAGCTTGAGGGGCTCCCGGGCCGTGGCAGATACGGGGTTCAGGCTGGACTCCAGGGCCTGTACGTAGGCGCGGGCGGCCCGCAGGCGCAGCAGGTACAGGTCTGTCTGGAAGCTCCGGTGCATGGCTGAGAGGGAACACGACAGGCTGATGGGGAGGGGAAGAGGGCATATGGGGCAGGGAAGCGGGGGGCACCATTGTGAGGACGGTGCAAAAGGACTGTGCTGGGTCTGCAGAGGCAGGGAAAGGGCGGATAGTCCAGCCTTCTGGTCACCACCATTCCGCAGGTGCGTGGCTTTTTCTCGCGAGAATCCCTGCATCTGGAAGCGACTGCTCCCTGCTCTGAATCCTGAGGGCGCCGCCCTCATCCACAACACCTTCCACCTGGTGGCTCCATTGTCTGCAGGGAGCCGTACCTCCTGGGCCATTTCTGGACCTCCAGAGGCACGCGACATGGCTGGGGTCTCCTCCCACTGCTCGGGACACCCTGGGGCCTTCCCAGCTCTCGCTGCTCCAGAGCAACAGAGTTCAGAGAGCAAGGGCCCGGCCTGAGTCTCACCAGTGCCAGCCTCCCGCTCTCGCAAAGTCTGATCCACATAAAGCCGGGTCTTTCGGGGCACGCTGAATTTCGTGGCTTGTGCTAGTTGGGGGCCCGCCTCCCCTCTCCCTTCCACAAACACTGCTGTTCGCTTCAGGATCTTGATAATCAGGCTGCCACCTGGGGAAGTGGAGGATGGAAACAGATTGTCCTTTCCAGTTCCACCCCACATTCCCACGTTCTTCCCCCAAATCTGCCTCACAGTCGTTTCTATACATGGCTGTCTTCCTGCCAAGACACTAAGTTTGGGAAGGAATAAAATTTGTTTTAAAAATCCACGATGAGGGCCTCCCTGGTGGCGCAGGGATTAAAGATATCGCTATCAAGCTAACTGCCAGCCACTGCAGCACGAGTTCGATCCCTGGCCGGCCAGGGAGATACCCACATGGTGCAGCCGACCTCTCCTGCCTCACCCGCTGCTCCCCTCAGCAGTGTATTTCAGTCAGTCTGCCTGTTCCGCTCCCCACTCTCTCTGGTGAATCCTCTCTCACACACAACCCCCACCTCTGGTCTGTATCCCAGTTCTTGTATTCATAAATAAATAAATCTTTAAAAAAAAAAAATCTACAATGAATTCATTCATTCACTTATCGGCCCTTTATCGAACCCTGTGATGTTCCCAGTGTTGCGGGGACACTGGGGATACTGGAGCTATCCAGAGAGTTGCAGCGCCATCCAGAGCCTGGCCCCTGAGGTGCCCTGTTGACTTGCAGCTGAGCTGTGCCCAGTGTAGGCCCAGCCGGACAGGCAGCTCTACCACGCGCCCCACTCCCTGCTCTTCTCATCATCAGCCTGTCCTCCCACCGCCTCTGAACCCATCTGGCTCCCCTTACCTCGCGTAGCCATGATGAGGGTGTTGTCTTCCCGCCCGTAGCGGCCAAAGCAAAGGCTGGTCACTGCATCCTACGGTGGAGACACCAGAGTTCAGTTGGGGAAAAGATCCTGAGGAGGAGCAAACGAGGGCGAGGAGACAAGGTCGGGAGACCCAGCTATGCTGCCATGGGCGAGACATGCGGCGAGTTGGGGGCTGTGGGGGTCAGCCTCCTGACAGGGCTTGCGCCTGGTCTTTCTCCTCCTGGCGACCTTTACACAGCTGCCCTGTTGCTTCTCGAAAACGCAAATACCATCATTTCTACTTGCAGCTAAAAATCTTTAAAAAGAGGCTTTGGCCTCCTTCTCAGGACGTGGAGGCCTCTACCTCAGATCCCTGCCTTCTCCGCCAGTGGCCCGCACGCTCCTCTCCCCCGCCCGAAACACGCCCGCCCCCGCAGCACCGTATGGGCCAAAGCAGGTGCTTTCAATGGGACCCAGGACACTGGACTCACACACATGGCTCCCCAGGTGCTGCACTCTCAACTTCCTGCTGTTGCCTTCAGTGCTGCTGGTCGTGACCCACTAAGCTGATTTAATGACTCACAACTCAAGACTTTGAAATACGCTGCTCCAAAGTCATCACACAAAGGCTTCTCAGGCCTTGTGCATGTGGTTCCATCTGGAAGGTTCTTTCTTCATTTATCCACTTGATGAACAGCTGGGGTCCAGCTGGTCACTCGCCCTGTGAGGTGTCCTGTGAGTGCCATCCTCACATGTCCTCCCTGTCCCCAGCGTTCAGCACCCCTGTGCTTTTCAGCACTGGGCTCAGCTTCAGTCTAGCTTACAGGGAGTCAGCCATGTCTCTGTCACCTTGGACCCTAAGCTCCCTGAAGGCAAGGATTTGCCACCTTAGATTATAAACTGTGAAGGCGAGAATTTTCACTCATTGTTTGATCCCTCCACCCTCAATACAGTGACTCGTGCATGTGAGGAATGGGATGGGGGGAGGAAGCTAAGAAGCCCCAGAGGTGGAAGTGGGGCCAGGAGGCGTCCGCGGCTCACCGGGGCACGGATGACATTGAGCAGGGCCTTGTCGCGGTAGATGCGGACCTCCCCGTTGGCCAGCCCTGCCATGACAGCCTGCAGGCCCCGAGAGTGCTGCTCCAGGAGGTTCATGGTCAGGATGGCCGCGGGCATCTGCACGGTCCACAGCCTCTTGCCCTGGGAGGGGACAGCCAAAGGTCTCAGCCGGGTTGGGGCTTATAGTGGGAGGAAGGGGAAGCCAGCTCCAGAGGGGCACAAGGGACAGGGGTTGAGGGGTGGGGCGGTGCCACCCAGCAGCCCTACCTTGTGGGTGAAGCCCTGCAGGCTGTCTTGGGTGGTGCCCACCACCAGGACCTTGTGTACACGCACGAGCCCCACCGGCTGGGCACTCAACTCAATACAGTATTTGGGGCGCCTGGAGTCTCTGGAATAAAGACACTCTCCTAGTCCCTGAGAAACCCCCTCTTCTTCCCTGACTGACCTCCTCCTTCTAAGCCCATACCCTGTCCTGGAAGGAACTCCAGCCCAGAGCAGACGGCGGGGTTATTCCCAGCTCTCCCTCTGAACTATGTGACCAAGGTCAACATCAAATATTTTCCTTCTTGCTCTTCTTTGCTTCCTTCCACGTTGTGGCAGTTTGTAAGATAATCTGGCATTACCAAAGTTTACAGTGCAGGGCCTCCCTGGTGGCGCAAGGGGTTAAGCACAGCACTATGAAGCAGTCCGCAGCCTTTGCAGCACGAGTTCGATCCACGGCCAGCCAGGGAGCTACCCACATGGCACAGCAGACCTCTCCTGTCTCTCCCGCTGCTCCCCTCAGCAGTGTATTTCAGTCAGTCTGCCTGTTCTGTTCCCTGCTCTGTCTCTGGTGAATCCTCTCACCCCCCACACCTCTGGCCTGTACCCCAGCTGTTGTATGCATAAATAAATAAATCTTAAAAAAAAAAAAAGTTTGCAGTGCACCTGAGGTGAGCCTGGCTGGGGCTGTGGACTTAAGCAGGTAGTAATCTAGGAGAAAGCGTGAGGCAATTGCTCTGGGCAAACAGGAAGCTGCAAATATCTGCTTCCTGCCTCTGAGTCCTAGTTTCTCCTCTCCAGCCAGAAGGGGTGCCTTCTCCGGCCTGCCCACTCCCAGCTAGGGCCCACACGCCTTCACCTCTAAATCTGGGTCAACATCAATCATGTACCTCTGCTGACCCATCTGAGAGTCTCCCCTAGGTCTCTGGGCTCCTTGCAATCTGCCCTTTCAAAATTGGAAATGGACAATGCCGTTCTTCTGATGGAAGCCCCATGAGTCTCCCAGTGCACTTCAGGTAAAATCCAAGCTATTTACCTCGTCCTGCCAGGCAGGCACCCAGCCTGGTCTCATGTCCCCTCTGCCTAGCCTCTTCCTGGCCACCCAGCTTGAGGAGCACTTGCCACTGTCCTTCCCATCCCGAGTCTGGTGAGTTCTCTCTGCCTACAACACTCTCCACTTGCTGCACTGGCTCCTTCTCAACCCCCAAGTCACCCGCAGACAGGTGCTCCCGAACACCCTGACCCCGTGATATTCTCAGGAATATCAAACTAATGCATAAGGAAGTGTCACTTAGCTATCAATAAAGCAAATATGAAAAATTTTATTTCTTTGAACTCCTGATCACGTTGCTCATGTATTGAAACCCTGTGTCTCACGGCGTCCGCGCTCCCTGCTGCCAGACACCCTCTGTGGTTGTGGACTCAGCCTCCTACATGGAGTGCACTTTCCACTCCCAAACTCCAGACCCAAAGCCGCCTGCTCATCCTGCCAGGCCCGGAACCCCCAGGTTTCCGAGCTTCCCTCTGGCCTGAGACCGCGGAGGGGCTACCTTCTCAGGATGTAGATGTTCCCATTGCGGCAGGCAGCGGCGAGCCGGAACTCAACGTCAAACTGGCCAGACACCTCCAGGAAGACGGGGACGCTGGGCAGGCTCATCTGCAAAGAAGGGGCTCAAACGCCTGCATTTCTCCGGCGCCCCAGTCCTTCCCTGCCCCGATAGATCCTCTGATTTGATTTCGTGTTTTATGCCTCAGTCTCCTCTGGTACAGGTTCAACTGGTACAGTTTTTCTGGAGGCAAACTTGGCAACACAAAGCAAAATTCTATGCTCTCTGACCCAACCAGGCCTGTCATTTCTAGGAATGCATTCAAGGAAGGATTCAGACAAGTGTGCAAAGCTGTTTGGGCAAGAAGCCACTGAACGGTGCCAAAGATACTGAAAAACGGAACCCAATTTAAATGCAAAGTAGGTGCCGGGTGAGCACACCTATACTTGACATCACTTGGCCTTTGCAGAGGCTGATGGGTTTTACATAACATGGAAAAGCATCGATGACAGACTGCTACATGCAGAGAGCAGGCTCCCTGATTCTGTATGGAATGGCCATTTTTGTAAAAATAAATATTTATATAAAGTTAAATACCTGCATCTAAAGATGAAAATGTCTAGAAAGACATATGCACCTTTTTCTTGATACCCATGTCCATTTTATAATTTTTCTACAATGAACGTGCATCACTAGAACTAACTGGGGCAGCAGATGTGAGGGTGCAGGGGAGGGAAGCAGCCTGGGCCTTGGGTCTGCCCAGGACTGAGACTGATGCTGACCTTGGTCAAAACAGTAAAGGCCTCAGGGTCCAGCACCAGGAGCTCCTTGTTCTCAGTGCCCAGCACCAGGCAGGACACGGCGTCCTCATCAGCCAGGTTCTTCTTCAAGGTGGTCATGGTGGTGATGACTGTCTGCAGAAGGATGCCAGGGGTCACCCAGGGGGTCCCTAAACACCATCCCCCAGACACCCCAGGAATGTCACAGGAGGAAAGAATGAAAGCATGGGGGCGGGGGGGAAGATGAAGTATCAGAGGTGTTTACTGCAGCAAATCTAACTTTCCAACATAAGAGGCTTGTCCAAGTCAATCACAAACTATCCATATGATCAAAATCCCCTGTCATTGTAAGATCACTTATTAAAAGAAGATTCAATGACAGCAAGAGGGCTTCTACTGTATTAAGAGGAAAAAAACAGACAGAAAGATATGTTAGTATAATCCCAGCTTTAAAAATACATGAACTGAAAAACACGCTGGAAGGTTAAACCCTTAAATACAAAACACTGGTTCTTTGGACAGTGGGATCGCGGGTGATGTCTAACTTGGTCATTATGCTTGTCTACACTTTCTGGGTGGGTACATACTTGCTCCTCTTTGCAAATGTGATGAGAAAGGAAACAAAAGAGAAGGGGATGATCCCTTCGAGCAGCCTCTCCTACGGCGATATAGGCAGGACCAAATGTGTCTTGGGATGAAACTGCTCATTGTGTGATTATCCTTAAGATTGAAAAAGAAGACTCCTTCTCAGTGCCTGGTGGACAGGGGAGGCTAGCAGCTCCCCATCACGTCACCGAGACCCGTCCTCAGAAAGACTGCTTCCCCCAACTGCAGCCTGTAAGCATAACTGGCCTCTTCCTGATTTAAAGTTGCTCAAAGATGGACAGCTGTGATCCCCAGGACAGAACGAGGCTCCCCACAGAATGACTCCAAGGCCAAAGCCAAGGCTCGCGTGGGTCAATGCATCTGACTCAGGCGCCTCTACAGGAAGTGGATGGCTCCAGGAGGCTTTGTCAACAGCAGAGATCAGCAACCAGAGTCGGGTCCTGGCCAGAGGGTCGGCCCCTAGGGCAGAACCACAAGGGTCTGTCCAGGAGTAGATGCATCAATAAAATCATTCAAATTATAACAAAAATGTGAAGTGACTGAAAGGGAAACATTCCTCGTCCAATGATCTGCGTGTGAAATTATTATAAGTTATGAACAAAATCATGATTAATCAGCGAAATGATCAAGGAGCCACTAAAAATGGAGTTCTTAAAATACTCAAGATAGCATGTGACAGACTTAGGGGAAGCAGGATATAAAAGCTCATTTAAACAGAAAACGTATTGGAAAGCTAAGAGTGAATATCTCTGGGTAGTGAGACTGTAGTCATTTATACTTTTCCTTTACACGTCTCTTTATTTTCCAGATTTTCTCCAGTGAGAACACATTGCCGTTCCCCATGGGAGAAGGACGTTCTGCAGAGTCGTGGGACCGAATGCCACGCAGAGCAGGCAGGTTTGCGGGACATGGCTGCACAGGATGCCACGAAGTAAAACTAGTCGGGTTTGGTTATAGAATTTACTGCTACTATTACTTGGTTATTTAAAGAAGTCCTTATTTTTCACAGGCAAATCAGAAGAGAAGGGGCATTACCTGCCGCTGGATGGACTTGGATTTGTGCTGGTTCACAAACGCCTCCATGTCGCTCAGATCCAGCTGCAGAAACCTGGGCACACGGGCACAGGCATCTGCAGACCCGTCCTAACAGCCCCGGCCCCCCAGGCCCCCAGCCCTGGCCCTCCAGAGAGTCCCTTACCTGAGCGACTGTACTGACAAAGGCACCTCTGCCTTCTCCCTGCAAAGAAAGGGGCCATCGCTGCAGGCTGAGCTGAGGAACAGGCTCTGCCGTCTGACAGCATGCTGGGACGGTGGGGGCGGGCCAGGGGGGCCGAGGGGTGCATGAAGGGGGCAGTAGGCTCTTACCGGATGCTCTCCAGCATCTCCTTCAGGGTCAAGGGGTCGATCTGGTCCTGTGACGTATGGGAAGATGGAAGAGTCTGTGAGCTCCAGGCTGGGAATGCGCACCACCCGGGGCTGCCATTTCTTGCCTTATTCCTGTTCCCCCCCAATCACTTACCTCCTTAGCCTGGTTCCAAAGATCTTGCTCCAGGGGGTTTGGAGGCAGCTGGGGCAAGCTGAACTTGAAGTAGGGTCTAAGGTTTTTGTACACATAGACACAAGGGCCCGAGGCGAGGGCCAGAGCTGGCGTATGGGGCTCATGCTGCTCCATGAGGAAGGTGGCGGCGGCCGCGGGCAGGGCGGGCAGTGGGTTTTCACTCAGCACCGTGGGTCCCTTGAGCACCTTGAGGCGCGGCTGCCGTCCTGCTGGGCCGAGGTCCCCCACCACTAGCTGGAGAAAGAGTCTGGCTCATGCTAGGCTTGGGTGTCTGCTGACTCTCCTGGAGGGCTGAGCCTTTCATGCCCACACCATGCGGCAGGCAGCACACCATGGCGGGGGTGGAAGGGGCAACAGAGGCTCCACAATAAGGCTTGCATGCTGTGTGACCCTGGGAAAACTGATTAAACTTCTGAGCCTCGGTTTCCCCACCCACACAATGGGACTATCTATCTCATGACACTTGTGGTGAAAATAAAATGAGAAAAGGAATTCCAGAGCGTGGTGACGACCAGGAGCAGGTGGTGGCTGACGTTCTCATTGCTCATTCGGTGAACAATTCTTCAGGGCCCGCTCCATGCCAAGCACTATTCTAGACCCTGGGGCAGTGGCTGAGGTCAGTGAGGTCTGGCTCCAAACAGGAATAGGGATGATAAGTAGAAGCCAGCATGCAGGATGTGCTCTGTGGTGCCGAGAATAGAAACGAGCTCCTCGGCCTGCTTTCCATCCTCCTGAGCTGCACGTTGCATGCCAGCCATTCTCTGACCAAGACCTTCAAGGCCCCCTCATCTGGTTCCCAACTGGTTTTCATCCCCTTCCCATCCTTGCTCTGCTCAGTCACATGGAGGCCTTGACAAAGCACTGGGATTGTGGGTTCGTACCACATGCAGGGAGCCACACCAGCAGCCATGCCTCTCATTTACCCTCTTCACAGCCTCTGAGGTGGGCTCTACTCACGGATGAGGAAGCTGTGGTATAGAGATGCTAGATAAAAGCCACACAGCTAGTAACATGCTAGAGCTGGGACAAGACCATAGGTTTGTCGGAATCCAAAGCCAGAGCCAGAAAACCAAAACCAAAACCAAATAAAAGCTAAAAGCCAACGTCTTAACCACGACCCCTCACTGGCCTCAGCTCTCTAGCTTCAAGTATTCAATGAACTTCCCAGACCTTGTGTCTCTGCTTGTGCTGTTCCCTCTACCCAATGCCTTCCCCTCCTCTTCTGTGCCTTCTCGACACATTCTTCCCTCAACAGCCAGGTGACGTGACCAGCTCCTGGTATCTCCAGAGAGATGCCCCTGTTCTCTCACTGGTCCTCCCGCAATACTTCCTATCTATTCTATTTTTGCATGCACTTGTTGAATGCACAAATATTTACTGAGTACCTCATCTGTGCCAGCTACAGGGCTAGATGCAGGGAATCAACACTAAATGTTGCAGCCATTAGAGTCATACACAAAAGCATTTATCATTTCACCATAGTGCTGGACTATGATTTCCCCACCCATCACTGCTGTAAACCTATGGCCAAGGCTATTGTCTGTTCCTCTTCCCAAATTCCTCTTACCGAATTCTGAGTGCAGTCCCTGCCCAATGCCTGACACATGCAGTGGTTCACTGATAATTGCTGAATTGCTGCAAGCTTTAGAATAGGAAACTGGGGCAGAACTCAGAATCCTACTGCCCGGAAGGCATGGCCCAGTGCTGTGTTCTCACTGCCCACACAATATACCCCCCTGGGCTCATTGCCCATGCGAGGGCTGAACTACACAATAAGCATGAGACTTGGAATCTGACAGTTACAGCCTGCCACTTCCGTGAGGTCAGTCCCTCTGGGTCCATTTTCCCATTAACAAAATGGGGATAAATAATCTCTATATGCAAAATGCCTCTCAGAAAGCCTCATCCAGAAATAGATGCTTAATATATGTTAACTTCCTTTCTTTAGACAAGATAGTTCTTAATCTTTTAAAAACATGTGTCCTTTAAATTTTTTATTTACACTTTGGTATACCTTTTGTATTTAAAATTTAAACTTTTTATTATGGAAAAATTTTAGTCCTATACAGAGTAGAGACTCATGCATGAAGCTCAATCTGATTCAACCATGATCAGCTCAGGCTGATCTTAAAGTCTATGTTCTTTAGATAAACATAAAACTCTAATTTTCCTCCTTTCTGCTCTCCCTCCAGATTCTAATGCCCCACCCCTAACAAAGGGATTTGCCTTTCTAGCAACGATTAGGCATTAACTAAATGAAGAGGCTTTGTCTTAGTAGAATCCCAGTAGCAGTTTTTTCTGCTTTGCTTTGTGCTCTTTGAATTATGAAATCAATAGGTTTCCTTCACCTTCCACATAAAAATAAAATATTAACACAAAGTGTGTTTTTTCACAGTACACATGAAATCCTGCGGATACTGAGCTTCTTGGTGTCACTGGGAAATCTCAAACCTGATTATCCTCCCTCCCTACCTCTCCCAAGTCTCTCTGCCAGGGTGGTAAACTCACCTTGTACTCCCCATCCCCGTGCAAATCTGCCAGTGCTGGAAAAGACAAAAGAGCCATAAGCCAGGGTTCCAGAATCCGGGAGGCTTCATTTTGCAACCATTATCTGACTGTTCCATCTGCGGTGCGGGGTGGGTGGGTTCCTGATCCCAGAGACTCACCCATACAGGCAGAAAAGGTGTGGATGTTGGCCATGGGATCATAGTGCGCGTCGAGCCATTTGGAACTGGCGTCATTGCTGGGAGAGGAGGGCGAGAGTTAAGGAACGAGTACTCAGGGAAGGGGAGAAACCTTGGGGGGAGCAGGTCTCCGGGAGTGGGTGTGAGGAGCTCTGAACTAGGGGTATGGAAGATCTGGGGGGGCGAGCTGAGTGACCTCGAAAGTCTCTGTCACACACACACGCACACACACCCCTTCTCTGTCACACACACACACACCCCTTCTCTGTCACACACACACACACCCCTTCTCTGTCTCACACACACACACACACACACACACACACACACACACACACACACACACACACACACACACTCCTTAGGCTCCAGTTTCCCTGTTTGGTCCCTGTCTCTGCCTCAGCCCTTCAAGGATCGCCAGCGCGGCCCGAGAAGCACAGACGCCCGGAATTCGGGGACCAGGGCACCCTCTCTACATTTCTAGGAAAGAGGCCTTGAAGACCCCGGCTTTCACCTCTCAGCCTTGCGGCTGTCTGAGTCCGACGAAGACGTAGCAGCCATCTTAGCGGGCGTCGCCTTGGCAACCAGCTCCGTCCCGCCGCGGCGCAACACCTAAGCGGGCCCGGGTTCCGCGAGCGCGAGCGCAGAGGTTCCGGGCGCGCAGTTTTCCGACCCGGGAGGCGGCCGTGCGGCTGAACCGGCCTCGGCCTCTTCGGCTGGTTTCTGCCTGCTGAGGAGCAATGCATCACCCCAGCTCATTCTTATCTTCTTTCCTTCCCAGCCCGAGCTCTTGGGCCCGGCATCTCTGGGTCCGCCGCAGGGCCCCCGGGCTTCCAAGCCTGCGGAGGAGCCCTCTGTGTTTATGAGCTGCAAACCCAACTCCTCCCGCCTTAACTTCAGAGTCCAAAGGACCCTTTCTGCCAGCCTCCCCGTAGGGCCCAGACTCCGAGAAAAATGCAACGACAAAAAGATTAAATCCCAGGATTCTGACTGAAATTGCGGGGGTTCCAGTTTCTTTTCAAAGATTTCTTTTATTTATGCATACAATAACTGGGGTGCAGGCCAGAGGTGGCGGTGGTGAGAGGATTCACTAGAGACAGAATGGGGAGCAGAACAGGCAGATCTACTGAAATCCACTGCTGAGGGGAGCAGCGGGGAGACAGGAGAGGTCTGCTGCACCGTGTGGGTCAGCTCCTTGGCCCAGCGGCTGGGGATAGATTGATAGCACTGAGACTTAACCCCTGTGCCACCAGGGAGGCCTGAGGGGCTCCAATGTTTAGGTTCTGGGAAGATCTTATATTCCAAGAATATCCATGAAAAAGGACTACAAAAAAGTGTGCCATGTTTATCCCTGTCACTGTTGTCTCATTCAGAGGAGATGAAAAAAAACACAAAACCCCTCACCCTCCTGTCCCCTCTCCAGGTCTTGATCTGGTCCCACTTGGCTCCCCTGGAGCAGATAGAAATTAGACACAGGCAAGGAGGAGACCCCACAAATTGCAGAGCTGGCGATGGTTGTAATATTTATTTTTCTGGTTATAAAAGTAATACAGAACAGTGCTGGATTGGGAGAAACCGTTTCGAGTTCTGTGGATCTAGACAGGTCCCTTCTCAGAACTTTCGTTGCCTTGTTGGGAAATTGGTTGCAGGAGCCCCGTCTGGCTCACGTCACAGAGGGCCGCCCAGCACGAGTGAGGGAACACAGGGGAAGCACTTGGTGAACTGCAAAGTGCTGACAGATGGAAGATTAGTGACACCACCCTCGGCTGAGGTAGCACCAAGGTTCCAGCCCCTGCCCCTTCCCTCACCCCTCACACCCGCTTCAAGGGGGCCACTGCAGTCTTGGTTTGATGGCGTGAGAGGAGGGACCCACAAATCCTCCTCAGGCCTGGCCTGATGGGGCCTCGCTGGAGCCCTTCCAGTAGCGGGCATCAGCTGTGGCCAACTGGGTGAGGACCTTCTCCAGCTCAGGCCCATCCTCGAGGAAGCGATCGGAGAAGGATCGGATGAGGCCAGCAGCCGAGGCTTCGTACTCCAGAAGCTGCACTTCCGAGCCTGTGGGGGGAGGGAAGACAGTAGGATTGTCATGATCTTAACCGTCATCTTCATCAAAGCAACAGCGAGTTCTTCCTGAGTTGTGTGCCCTAAATTGTGTTCACCATTTTAATAACCTAACTGAAACCTCATACAAAACCCTATGAGGAAGGGAATACGAAGGGGGAGCAGCGCTGAGCTGCTGCATTCATTCACTTAATACTGATTCCAGGGCCACCCCACTGTGTCCACTCACTCCAGCGTGCAAAGGTTCTGTGCGCAGTTTTCCAACCCGGGAGGCGGCCATGCAGGTTCAACTGGCCATGACGGGGGAGTGAGGGGCACTTTTACATTTAATGCTAAGGCTCCTCCAGTAAAAAGCTGTGAGCTGGGCCTCCCCTGGTGGTGCAGCGGTTGAGAGCTGGGCTGTGAAGCTGCCCGCAGCCTCTGCAGCACTGGTTCGATCCCCGGCCACCGGCAAGGGTCCCACATGTGCGCAAACCTCTCCTGCTGCCCGCTGCTCCCCTCAGCAGTGTATTTCGTCGGGCTGCCTGTTCTGTTCCCTGCTCTCACCCTCCCGCGCTTCTGACTGTACTCAGTGCTCGTATAAATAAATAAATAAATCGGAAAAAAAAAAAAAAAAAAAAGCTGTGAGCCTAGGGAAGAAAACTCCCTTTGCCTCAGTGTCCTTGTAAAATGGGGATCATAAAAATACCTCCCTCAAGGGTTACTGTGAGGAGCTAAAGGGTTCATCCAGGAAAAGCACTTGGCCCTTGAAGAACGCACGCATGTGAGGCAGGCTCGCTAGAGCCAGGCGCGCTGTCAATACTGGCTTATCAGTGAAGACACGAAGCCCAGAGGGATAAGTGACCGGGCCAGGGTCACAGGGCAGTTCTGCTCACCCTCTACCCGCATGGCACCCCCTCTAGGAGCCTCACCTGAGGGGTGAGAGGGGAGCAAGGTACTTGGCCCAAAGCTTCTACTATAAAAGGCCCAGGCACCGTGCAGACAGGGCCAGGGCTTTTGAAAACAGAACCATCACTTGAGAAGGGAAAGGGACCACGGGCTGCTGCTGTCTGTGCTGGATGCTGTGAGTCCTGCCGTCCCCTGGGATCCTCCTGGCCGCTGGGTCCCAATTCGCTGACCTGACCTTGCTCCTGGACACTACTTTCTGGAGACACATCTGGCCTCCCCCTAAGCCTGGAGTCTGTCTGCTCCACTGGCGCCGCCGGCTCCCCCACACCTCCTCACCTCATTACCAATACCAATGCCTTATCACCTGGCATGTGAGGTGGCGCAGTGCTGGTAGAGGCTAAGGTTTGGCCTGAGGGTGACCATGGCCACAAGGGAAGGGGTGTCCACTGCAGAGAGCCCTCCTCCAACCTCCACGCACCCTCGTGCTCCCCACATGGCCCTCCAAGGGTGCTCGGAGTCCCTTACCTTCCAGGCGGGTGTTGGGTTGGACGATGAGCTTCCGAGATTCCTTGCGGAGCAGCACCGTGTCCCTGAGGGTGAGGAAGCACTCGGGGGGCGCATCGGTGACGGCCGCATACCCCTCATATAGGGCCCGGCCTCCAACCACGTCCCCCGTGGACTTTAGCACCTGTAGGAAAGCAGCAGTCAGTGCCTGTGGGGGTTCCCACCTGCATCTGCAGGGACTCTGGCCCTCTGCTCTCTCGTCATGCCTGTGTGAAAAGTGAGAAATGCAGACCAAACGCTTAGCACGGGGATGCGTCTGTTAAAATGAAGCTGCTATTTCTCACTGGATTCTCATTTGAGCTACAGGCAAGGGAGGCATTACCCACCCCCCAAAACCAGCACCCGCCCCCCCAACCAAATATATATATAGTACATATGTATTAAAGAATAACAAGACACCAGGTCTCCCCAGTGGCGCAGCGAGTTGAGCACAGCGCGGTGAAGCTGTCTGCAGTCTCTGCAGGGTGGGTTCGATCCCCAGCCAGCCAGGGAGATTCCCACATGGTGTGGCAGACCTCTCCTGTTGCGCCCACTGCTCCCCTCAGCAGTGCTTTTTGTTCATCTGCCTGTTCTGCTCCCCACTCTGTCTTTGGTGAATCCTCTCACCCTCCCGCACGTCTGGCCTGTACCCCAGCTCTTGTATAAATAAATAATAAAATGTAAAAAAAAGAATAACAAGACACCCCCACAACCCCTGCCCAGCTTAAGTTAGACCAGTTGCCCCTGGGGTCCCTGGCGGTGCAAAAGGTCCTCGGCTCTGTGCTCATTATTCCCTGACTCTCCCCGGATTCCATTTCCGACTACAGAGTGTTAAGCTTCTGCCTGTTTTTGAACAGTAAGTCCTCACTTAATCTCGTCAATAGGCTCCTGGAAACCACAGTCCTCGGCACATGCTTCCATGGAAGCTGGTCCTGGCACAGGCGGTTTCGTGCAGCATCGGCTGGGATTGTTTTTGTCTCAACCTTATGATAAAATGACTCATGCCTCTTCCCGTGGACTTACCACTTATCCCGTGGACTTATCACTTATCAGAAGGTACTCAGGCCCTTAGATTTTTGTTTCTCTTTGCTAAAATCCGAAATACTCCTTTGACAATATCTATGTCTATAAATGTTGGGGTTCTTCTTGCAACTTGAATATAACCTCACCGTTAGAAAGCAGCAAGGTGGTATTCTAGGGAACACCTTTCACACGAGGTTGAGTGAGTGAAAGTAACGCTCCACATTTCTAATCTAATTTTGCTATGTAGATATTATTAATCAGTCCGGTTTTATGATTTTTAGAACCTTCTGTTTGCAAAAATAAAATATCCTATAGATATTAATAAAGAAAAAAAAAAAGGAATAGCTTCTCAATGGTGCCCCTACTTCACTGGGTCAGAACTGCCTGGGCCCAGCTCAGAATTTCAGAATCAGTGTCTGGGGTGGGGCCCAGAGTCCGCATTTCTCACCTGTTCCCGGTCCATGGGTCACTTTGTGTGCCACTGGCTTGGGTGACCTGCTATGCTATCTGCTCAGTTCCATCCTGTTGCTGTTTCATTTTTGCCCAATGAGGCAGGTGATAAATCCCATTTGACAGATGAGAGAAGTGGGGCCTAGCATGGTAGAGTATGTGTCTCCAGTTACACAGAAGAACCCAAAAGCTTCCCAACTCTAAGCATCCCTACATGGGGATGGGGGGCAGGGGAAGCCAGGGTCACACTGACCACAGCCCTTCCCTCACCAAGCGTAGGCCTCCTTCTGTTCCTCGACCTCCCACACCCCCAGCTCATTCCAGTTCTCAGAACAGCCTTTGTGCTCTCTTTCTTCTGCTCGCAGATCTCCTCAGAGTGGGTTCCTTCTTGACACAAATTCTGGCTCAAACACTACTTACTCCAGGAAGCCTTCCCTGATCACCCTGGCTAAGGTAGCTCTGAATTCCATTCCTTTCCAATCTTATTTGCTGTCATATTACCCAGTTTGTTTCTTTCAGGTCTTGTCAAGACCTAAAATTATCCCGTTCACAAGTTTATTGTCTTCCCGCGCTACATATAAAAAACTGCTCGCGGTTTGTTCTCGGTGCTGGCACATAAAGTCACTGAATGAAAGAAAGCACGAATGAATGACTCAGGAGGTCAAGAGGCGGCGTCAGAGGATGGGGCACCTCCAAGGTCGGTGACCCCGGCTTACCTGAAGCCTCCGCAGGAAGCGCTCCAGCGCGGGCTTGCCCACAGACCGGATTTTGCTGCGGTCAAGGCGGACCCGGGCATCGGGGCGCCCGTCGGATCCTGTGGTGGGGGTGACGGTAACGAGTCCCTCGCCAGCCTCCAGCAAGACCCTCAGGATCACAAACCGGGCCTGCATGTGGGCCTACGGGGCGGGGGGCGGGGGGGAAGGAGTCACTCACAGCCCCGAGATAAGACGACGGAGCCTGATACGCAGTGTGCGCTCATTAGCCGTCAGTGTTGGATTCCCCCACCCTGTGGGTCCTTTCCTGCCTCTTCCTATCCCCTCAAACATTTCCTCCTTCCTCCCTCACTGGGAGAGCAGGGGGCCCTGGGGATAGAGAGGCCATTTCTAGGCAGGACCTGGAGTCCTGTGCTCCTCACCCCATTACCTGCCAAACTCCCCCTGATGATAGCAGTCACCCCCCCTTCCAGGGTCCCTCAGCACCAGGACCCCAAGCACTTCTTCCTCACAGTGGAACCAAGTGGGCATCATTTTCCCAGTTTACAGATGACAAAACAGAGGCCAAAGAGGTGCAGTGACTTGCTCAGGGCCACGCAACTGGTGAGGGAAAGCCTGGGCATAGGTCCGAGTCTCCTGACTGCAAAAAGCGCATTCCTCCCACGATGCGACATTGCCTCCTCAAAGCATATTCGGTTGACTTTTTAAAAAAATCCGCACTGCTAACCCTCTCTCCAAAGCACTCCTCCCAAGCGAGCTGTCCTGGCCTGTCCTGAAGGCACAGGAGGCGGGCTGCTGGAGTTTGCATCCTGGCTCTGCTGCTCACCAGCAAGTCACTTCATCTCTTGATGCCTCAATTTCCTCATCTCGAAAATGAGGGTAACAGTAGCACGTACCTCCTGGGGTTTATTTAGAGCAAATCACCAAATCACGTAGAGTGCTTACAACTCTATAGGGACTGAGTGAGTCCCGGGGGGCCATGTTAGTGGTCATAAGGTCCACAGAATCTCACCTGATTTGCCCTCAAAAATGGGCAGGGAGATCATTACTCCTGTTTCAGACAGAGACACTGAGGCTCACAACAGTGACACGACTTGGCCCCTGACGGTGGAGGGTGCTGCTAGGATCACCCCCAGGTTATCCCTGCACCCAGAATCCTGATCTTGCCCCTCCTCCACCACAGCCCACTCCTCTCCAGGGGACCCCCCACCCACCTGTCTCCAGTTGGAGGCCTCGGGGGTGTAGAACTCCAGAGCCAGGAGCCCGGCCCGAACCATATTGAGCCAGTTCACGTAGATCACATCTTCCGCATCAGCCCCCTTGAAGCCAAAGATCCTGGGGCAGGAGCAGAGGGGGCAGGGCAGTGAGAGGCTGCCTGGCCCTGCCCTCCCGGCCAGCAGCCCCCGTCCCCAGGGTGCCCTACTCCAGCACGTGGGGATTGAGGCAGAGGTAGAGGCCCACGCTCTCCGCCCGGCACTCTTCGTAGCTGGAGGCGATGGTGCTGAACTTGCTGTCCCAGGTCTCCCCGCTCCGGTACCAGCTCTGAATCTGGGAGGGGAGATCCAAGGAGCAGCCTAAGGGAAGCTGCTACCCAACCTGGGCACTCCTTCCCAGGGCCCCAGCCGGCCACCCTCACCTGCTCCCCGGTCTCTGGGTTGATCACCGCCTCCTGGTCAAAGTTGAAGGCTCCTTTCTCATCCTGCAGGGGAAAGGTCATGAAATGGAGTGAGGGGTGGGGGAGTCCTGCTCTGTCCAGATCTTCAGCCCTGGACCCAAGGGCCTGTAGGGCAGCCCAGAAGGTGAGCTGGGCGGAGCAGCAGGTCTGTGGACAAACTGCTGCCTCCAAAGCTGAGGCTGGACCACCGGCTACAACGTAGCACTGGAGGTGGGAGGGCAGCACTGCTGCCCAGCTGCCCGGGGACCCGGAGGGCCGGGGAGGACGGGGTTCACCCAAGCCACGGACGACCCGGACCATGTCTCGGAACCTCAGTCAGAGACGTCCCCAGGGGTGGGCCTGAGCGCCTGGTCCCTCCCCTGTGCTGGTCAAAGAGGCCACAACACATGATTCCAGAACAAATGTCACCTCTCCTTGTGCCCAGTGTTTCACCACCAGGCAGGTAAACCTCACTCCCACCCTCCCAGGATGGTTCCTTATCACCCTCTTCACAGAGGTGGAACCTGGAGCTCAGAGCCTAAACATCTCAGAGTGGAATCTGAACACGTGACCTCCGGGCAGTCTCTTCACAACACCTATTTGCTGAGGGCCTGTGCCAAGCAACTCCTCCTGCTCGGGAGACAATGAACTCTCCTTCAGGCCCCATTCATCCTTGGAGCGCCCAGGACATTTTAGGGGCAGGATGAGACAGGGTGTTCTCTGCTTAAGGGGTCAACTTCCCCACCTAATCCCAGACCCAAGAGCAGAGATGGAACCAAGCTTAGCCATGGGAAGGGCCAATGGCAGGGAAGGAGCACAGAGAGGTTTGTGCCGGGCACCTGGGCCTGCATCACACTCTTACCTGGACAAAGAGTTTGCCACTGCCATGGCCCAGCAGCTCGTGCAGCCCCACCTGCACGTCAAAGGAAGGCCCCTTCCAGCGGATGTACAGGTCCTGCCAAGGGGGACAAGCAGAGACAGTGCTGTCCACGTCCCTCTACGGCCACCCAGCCGGCCATCTCCCCTCTGCCCGGCTGAGGGCCCATCACGAGGCACCAGATTGGTAAAGGCCTATGGCAGGCCAGGCTGGGCACGTACAGTGTGCTCATGCCAGCAACAGCCCAGGGGCAGGGGACGCCTCTGCCATCTGACAGGTCAGGAAGCAGGTGTCAGTCAGGAGGCCACGCGGCCAGAAGTGGCGGAGCGGACTGAAGCCATGCTTTCCTCTCCCCTGTGCTGGGCTGCCTGCCTCCCTGCCTCTGCTGAGATCACCGGTGCCCACCTTGTCATCCTCCTCTAGGAAGGTGAGCTTCTCCCGCTTCGTGGCGTAGGCCACGGCCAGCACATTCCCCAGCGACACGTTCTTAAAGCCTTCAGTCTGCCTCAGGTCGTCATCTGGAAAGGGTGGGGAGGGGACCAAGAAGGGGCAAAGTCAAGGGTCAATGACAAGGACTCGAGACGAAAGGAATTCATGGTCAGACTGAGCAGGGGGAGGCGACAATTCTAAATGGAGGCTCTTGGGGGCTGGGGGATACTGCCATGGGTCTCGAGGGGCTTGAGGAAGCTCACAGTTGGGGATGTTGATGCCAGCAGGGATGCCGGAGCCAGCAAAGGTGAGGACATCCAGGGAGGTGAAGTCAGGGGTGAGGAACTTGTCCTTCTCGAAGGCTGGGGGCCAGGGCAGCTCCTTCAGCAACTGCTCCGCACTTGCCACCAGACACTCAAACTTGGCACTCATGGCCTTGTTCACCATGGCCACAAAGCCTGCAGGGAGGGAAGGGCGCTGCAGGCTGGCAGGGATGGAGAAGGAGTCCAAAGTCTCCTCGGTCCCTCAACCCCTTCAGCCAACATGCATGCGCAGAACCTGCTGTATGCCTGACCCTGGGCTGGCCCTAGGGAGAACAGCGACCCCGGCCTGGACCTGCCTTCATGGAGGTCACAGTGCGAGGATGGGATGTGAAGAGACGGCTTCACTGGGTAACATCTGAAAGGGATCATGGATTAAAGGGATCTGTGGGGAGCACATGGATGACATAGCCATGGTGCTCTGCCGTCTCACAATTTTCCTGTTTCAGATTTTTCCTGTGTCTGCTTCTCTTGCGAGAACAGCAGGGCTTGACCATAAAATGGTTAAGTAGAGTGTAACAATGGGAGGAAAATACCCAAACCTAGCTTACACAAGGAGAAAACATTTTTTTCTTCAGTTGACAAGTTATGTTTCTGAGTGTGGGTCGAGAAAACTATTTACTGTTCCCGGGGGGACTTCCTGACTCCCTGGAACAGAAATTACCACAGGGAAAGAAACCAAGGTACCCCGCTCATGGTTAAACAGATAACAATTAGAAATGAGGGGGGTTCTATTTTGTTTCATGCTGAACCCAAATTCAAGTTATACTGTAACTCAACCAATCAGGCTCTACCAATTTGCATCTTTCTGTACTTCGTTTCCTAACCCCTTAAATATCACCCAAAGTCCCACCCTTGAGAGATAGCTTTGTGCCCTGGCTCCTGTCTTCTTGCCGGCTGACTTGCAATAAAACACTTTCTTTTTTCAAAGCTGGTATCAGACTCATTGGCTTCTATATGCACGTGGGGTAGCCAGACCATTGCGAGGTAATTTGGTGGGAGAGGATCACATCTGCAGTGGAAACAATTACTTGGGCAAACAAAGATGCTCTTTGTTTTGAAGGGAGCTGTGAGTGTTCCATATGGTGAAAGCTTGTGAGGGAGGCCACTGCACAGGAGGGCTAGGGCTGATCCTTTCAGGCTTAATGTAGTTGGAATGCCTGGCGCAAAGCAGTGTTTACAAAATGACCTAATATGGAACACGTTTTCTATGAGGTCCTTCATTAAGAAAGAGCTCGTGGTCAAATAAGTTCGGGCAATGCTAGAAGCTTTATCTCCAGCTTCTTAGAGGTTCTTAACATACAATTGCATATTAAAGATACTTAAGAGTCCTGTAGACAAGAACCCTTGCTGTTAACTAGGTTCTTGGTATAATTTCTGTTAACCCTGCATGGCTTTTGGAAAGGCCTGTCCCAAACTGCTACCTGAGCAGGCTTTTGGGTTAACCCGGCCAAGGGTTACGCTTAACAAAGCCTTCCTGTCTGAACGCACTCTCATTACACCAGGCCAGGGAGACAGGATGATTAAAAAATAGCAAAGGAAAAGCAACCTAAACGTCCAGCAGCTGGGGACTCGTTACATAAATCAGAGGCTGCTATGTGACAGTACACCAAATAAATGTTATACATCCAGTGCAGTATCAAATGTCATGGGAAACTACTTGTAATATATTGTATGATGCAGCTCTTAAAAAAAACATGGTGGGTCTATTAATATCCAAGATTTACTGTTCAATGAAAAAAAAAAAAGCAAGTGGCAGAACAGTATGTCCAGTAAAACCTCATTTACGCCAATCAATGAAAAGGTGTGCATGCGTATGTGTCTGGGTACCCACACGTGCACATACCCTTAAATAAAAGCCTGGGGGGGCTCTGCACTCAAGTGTGAACGGCCTTCTGGAGGGGAGTGGCAGAGAGGAGAGCAGTCAAGAAGAGGTCTCCCATTTTATCCCACATACATCAATATTGCTCCAATTATAACAAAGATGAGTTTTTAAATTACAGACACACCCCTGTTTTCCAGCAGGTCTAGCTTTCTATGAAAATGAAAGACAAGATGCACATTCTGAATTTTACCTTCGGTGGGTGCAATCAGAGTGGATCACTTTTTCTGTACTTTCAAAAATTTTGACCGGAAACATGGAAAATCTAATGGTCACAATGGAGTGCATAAAAGAGGGGGATCCTCTGGGGTCTCAGCCCCAAGAGTGGTCCTGGCTGACGTGCTGCAGGCGAATCAGGACCCAGGCAGGAAAGCTGTGGGTGTGCACAGCTGCCTCCTCCGCGGGCCCTCAAGCGCTGCCCCCTCCTGCCGTGCCGGGCCAGACCTGGGGACTCAGGTCCAAGCCCCAGGTAGGTGCTCGGGCTGTCCTCTCTCCTCCCAGGTGAACCCTCTCTGGCACCTGCTGTTGGATGCGCCAGACTCTAGGGAAGGATAACATTTGGCAGAGACAAGCCTAAACCCTCAGGTTGGGTGCCCCACCTGGCACAGGTCTCACAGGAGTGTGGGCATGGGGCCCAGGCAGCTTGCCGCCTGAGAAAGAGCAGCGGCTCAGGTTCTCAGCTCAAGGTCCTGGCACTCACTGTGCTGTGCCATCTGGCCTCACACTGAAGGGTGGCACCGATGCTCCTGGGTCCGCTGGCCCAGGGTCACTCAGTTGGAGAGTGGCAAAGCTGGGCCTGGACGGACACCAGAGCCAGTGCAACAGAGTGCCTCAGAGCCAAGGCTCCCGAGCTGCCCGCCGCCCTGCCTCAGTCCCCGCACTGGTTCAGTGTGGACTGTCTCCTAGGATGACTGTCTACATGAGCTAATCTAGGAGCGTGCCCAGCAGATGATGAACCCTCCGTGCTGGCTGCTGTTACTGCTAAGGAAGTGGGGGAGACACTCCTTGGGACCTGGAGGAAAGGAGGCCGACCTGACCTCCCGCCTCCCAGAAATTACCTTCAAATTCTCCACGGGAACCAAAGGGGTCTCGGTAGCTCTCGATGAACCCGATGTAGCTGGTGGGGGAGAGAAGCTGAGATGGAGGAGGGGCCGGCAGGAGGGTGGGGGAGGGGAGGGGAAGGCTGGGAGCCTCACCTCTCCACGATGGGGCCTTTGTCCTGGATCCAGGAGCGTGAGCCCCTCTTGTGGGCCTCGATGGAGCCCTGAGTGAAGCTTTCCATGTACTGGGCCAGCATCTGCTCCTGGTGGCTGTTGGCCGCGTAGGCCTGCAGTGCGCAGGGTCAGTCAGCCCGGGCCGCCCCTTGTTCCCACACCCTCCCTTGCTGCTCAGAGGAGTCCGGAGCCCACACATATCAGTCCCTGGCCAGCCCTACCTTGGCTTTCTCCAGGTGCTCCACTACCTTCTGGAGGATGGGTGCATAGTCCCCCCGGGTCACCTGGAAATGACTCCCCCGGAATTCATAGCCCTTCAGCTTGGAAGCCACTTCCTGGTCCAAAGCAGGCTCTGAGGAAAGAGGGAGCGCTCAGGGAAGAGGTGGGTGTAAGACACCCCAGCTGGCTTCTCATCACAGCAGACTTACTCTAAGATCTTCAGTCACAGTGGGAGGCTATGGGAGTGGGGCTGGGCCTGGCAGGCAGGGAGGGCTGGGTTGCAAAGTCCTCAGAGGGGCTTGGGTGTTTCTTTCCACGCTGTACCCACACTCCCTCACCTGATAACAGACCCAAATTTTTCTTTGAGAACTGCTCACCACTGCCACCTCCAGTCCAGGTGGGGGGAAGGGGCGATCTCAAGTGTGACTTCAAGATAGGCTTGGGGTCAGGTCTAGCCAGTCAGAAACCTGGCTCTTGACCACAGGAATAGGCCCACACATAAACAGAGGACCCAAAATAAAAAAAACTAGAGCCACTCCCACACCTAAAAAGCATATCCTAGGAGAAAAGAATCCTCTTTCTACCAGGAAGGTCAGGCTGGTAGCTATGAGGTCCCGTGTAGGGAACCTGCCATAGATAAAGTCAGAAGGAACTGAGCTAAGGGATGAAGACAGAAATTTCTGAGAAGATTTTCCAAGCAGCTGGATCGAGTTGTGCCTAAAGCCACCTGACTCTGACTCTGGGCTTCCTAGAATTAACTAAGCTTATAAAGTCCCCGTTAGGCAAATTTGAAATAGGTTTCTTCACTTACAAAAAGAAATCTGAGTAGGGGCCTCCGTGGTGGCGCAGGGGTTGAGACACAACCTATGAAGCAATCCACAGCCTCTGCAGCATGAGTTCGATTCCTGGCCAGCCAGGCAGTAACCCACATGGCGCAGCAGACCTCTCCTGACTCGCCCGCTGCTCCCCTCAGCAGTGGATTTCATTCAATCTGCCTGTTCTATTCCCCCCCGTTTCTGGTGAATACTCTCACCCCCCACACATCTGGCCTATACCCCAGCTCTTGTATGTATAAATAAAATAAATCTTTAAAAAAAAAAAAAGAAATATGAGTAATGTCATCTTTAGAAGTGGACTGGACTTTACCTTGAGGGTACTTTGAAAGATAGGAGGCATAATTTGGGAAGGCCACCATCTCCACCTTCCTATACCTCCAAGACGCAGAATCACCTTTTCCACAAATCCTTCACTTATATGCTATTTGGCTTTCTCCCCTAGGCTATCATGGGATGTACTATCCAGCCTCTAGCCCTACTGCTGGTGTGGCCTGGAACCTTCTGTAACCCTGCTGGAGGGCAGGCATGATGCCTGCACATCGCTCAGCAACATTCACCCAGCGGGAGGGCTGGAGCGCTCACCTCCCAAGATGTGCAGCACAGCTCAAAGCTTGGAGCCTAGCGAGCCTTCCACCCACGTCTTCTAGAACTATTAGGACTTCTCCTACTCCCTGGGGCTACCCCATAACCAGAAGCCCTGTCCTCGGTTCCAGCTGAGGGGGGTGTGGAAGGGGCAAGAGAAGCAGCGCTGGCTGGAGCATACCTGTGCGCAACACGGAGGCCAGTCGCACCTCGTAGTGGGGCTTCCCATCCTGGCCAACCTCCTTGAAGAGCCGTGTGTTGTAGGCACTGAGGTTCTGGAAAGACCAGGGCAGGGGGTTGGGAAGAGTGAATCTAGAGAGGGCTATGCGGTGGGAGGAGGAACAGTGGGCCACACAGGGAGAGAAAGCACAGAGGCATAGCAGCAGGGCCTCCGAGGGACTGGCTTAGTGGCTGGGAAGAGGGAAGGATGGTGGGGGGGTGGGGGGAGTTGGCAGCAGGTTGGGGCTTCTCCAGCTTGGCCCAGTACACGGAGCACCAACTTTTACTAAGTGCTAACCAACTGTGCCGGGCACCATGTGACCGGGGCTAGCCCAGGGCTACAGGGGGCAGGCCCCCCCACTCTCAGACGTGGTGACCAGCTGCTGGGAGGTGAAGGGGCTTGATGGCGCCCCCATCCTGCCCTGAGGCCTTGATGGGGCAGGGCCACGGCTCTGTCTCTGGGCAAACTGAACCAGGCCAACTCTCAGACAAGGCTCCCAAGTCTTTTCTACCTCTGGACACAAGATGCCTGTGCCTCCCAGCCCCATCTGAGACCCAAAAGCTGGTGCTAGTGGTAAGGGGAACCCCCAACCCTGGGATTCCCCAGTCCCCAAACCTGTGAGTCCAGAAAGTCTTGGGCTAGTTTGGCATCTTCCATGGTACAATCCCCAGAGAAATAGGTGGTGATTCCCTGTCGGAGAAAGAGGAGTTGAGATCAGGGAGCTGCAGGAGCAGATGGCAAACCCCTTCTCAGCGCCCTTTGCAGCATGTGCTAGCAGGAAACCCTCACGCGAACAGCAAACATCTCGGCCTTCCTGTACCTCAGCTCCAGCCTCTCACAGGCTGGCAGCCCTAAGGCACTGAGTCCCCCAAACCAGGCAGCCTCCAGGATGCCCAAACTCCTTTCCCATTCTCCCCTCCTCAGCTCCCCTCAGCTCTCAGCCCCCCTCCTTCTGCACACAGCATCCAGGCTGTCAGGACCAGGAGGGCCGTCCATCCAGCCTATCTCCCTCTTCACAGGTGGCAGAACAGAGGCCTGCAGAACAGAGCCCTTCTCTCAATCCCAGGTGCCCGGAAGGTCACCCTCCACTCCCCGGTGCAGAGGAGGCCTCACCTCCTTCCCCAGCCCCAGGTGTCGAAGCCTGGGCTCCAGAGAGAACATGAGCTCCCCGCAGGTCTGCCAGAGGCTCCTCACTTCTTCCGGATGCTGCTGGGCAGCCTTGCTTCCCAGGATCACACGTTCCAGCTTCTCCTGCAGGGGAAGGAGGCTACTGGCTCAGCCACATTGTCCAGACCTCCCTTCTGGGGCCTTGGCATCCAACGCCAAGCTCTTTACCCACCCTTGGAAAGCACCCGGGCACCGAGTGCAGTGCACAAACTAGCAGCACTGACACTGCCCCAGAAACATGGAGCCTCACGCCTCTCAGCTCGGTCAAGTCGGAGAGAATGGCCCCTTCCCCTTTCTACATGTGGGGGCTGCAGCACCCAGCGAGGTGCAGGGTCAAGGTTCTGCTTGGGCCCACTCTGGTGGGGGCTCCCCCCGCTGCACCCTTCATGTCCACCCCAATTTCCACCTTCCCCAGCCTCCTTCAGCTCACCTTGGGCAAGTTGGGAATAAACTTGGTGTCGCCAAAGGACTTGTAGTTACCCATGTTGGAGTAGACGCCGGCGGCGTAGACCAGGAATGCCTGAGGGGGAAGTGGACATCAGAAACCTGGGTAGTTTACCCTGAGATGTTAACACCCCAGAGGAACCAATATGGGTGAGGCTGGGAATCCTGGGGGCAGGACCCAGATCCAGGCCAGTCTCCACACCCAAACTGGTCTCTGCCACTCCCAAACAAAGGTGCTCATCCACCTGTGCGCCCTCTGCCCAGCATGCCCCCAGCTAACAACGGCCACCCATAGGACCTTTAGGGTCTAGTTCTAACACCGCCTCCTTCTGCAGGAAGTCTGTCCTTGGCCCCTAACCTGGAAGTAGCTAGTGTCAGAAGCTGCAAACGTTAGAAATGGAGAGACTGCGGTCACTTACTCAAAGGCTTTTGCTGTCTCCAAATCTAGTCTCCCTCTGACAATACAAACACTCATCTTCCTTCTGGGAGAGGGGATCTCCCATCCCCCACTCCAGGGGTGGCAGAGACTCAGGCTGGCCAAGGACAGCCCTCCCAGGAAATGTCCCAGTGGCAAAAATCCGTTTTATACTGGGAATCCCAAGCCTGGATTCCCCTTCTGGAGCTGAGAGACGAAGTCTGCACCCCTGTAATATCACTGAGCCCCTGAATCTAGCCAGGCCGAAAGCCTCCCCTAGCCCTGAACTTTTCAATTATGTAAGCCAATAATTCTTAATAGATTTCATTTTTTTAGATCAGTTTAAGTTTCACAGCAAAACTGAGCAGAAGGTATAGAGATTTCCCATATACACCCAGCTCGCAGCCAGGGAAAGCGATCGGATTTTGTACATTAGCTTTGTATCTCACATCCTTGCTATCCCTGCTCATCGGTCCCAGGAGATGTTGGTCTTTTTTCCACTTCTGGATTTCTACATAGCTCACCGTGTCATCTGTGAACCAGGACAGTTTTGTGTTTTCCTGCTCCACCTGTACACCATCTTTGTTTCTGGCACATTAGCGCACTGAAATGCAGTGGTGAGAGGGGATATCCTTGTCTTGTTCCTGATCTTAGTGGGAAAACTTCAAGTTTTTCACTGCTAAGTAAATGTTAACTGAAGGGTGTAGAATCTTTGCCAAACTGAGGAAGTTCCCTCTCTTCCTAGTTTACTGAGTGTTTTTATTATGAATGGTGCTGGATTTTTTTTTTTTAAAGATTTTACTTATTTATTTATACAAGCACTGGGTACAGTCAGAAGCGCAGGAGGGTGAGAGAATTCACCAGAGCCACAGGGGAGAGCAGAGCAGGCAGACTGACGGAGTACACTGCTGAGGGGAGCAGTGGGCAGCAGGAGAGGTCTGCGCGCCATGTGGGACCCTCACCAGCAGCTGGGGATCAAACCGGCGCTGCAGAGGCTGCGGGCAGCTTTGCAGCCCAGCGCTCAACCGCTGCGCCACCAGGGGAGGCCCCAATGGTGCTGGATTTTGTCCATTGCTCTTTCTACATCTACTGACATGATCACACGGTTTTTCTTCCTTACCCTGTTGATGGACCAACCCTAGAAGGTCAGCATTACCCTAATACCAAAGCCAGACGAAGACTTTACAAGAAAATGACAGACCAAGACTTCTCATGAACGATGATGCAAAGATCCTCAAGAAAATATTAGCAAATTGAACCGAGGATGTGTAAAAAGAACCATACACCAGGATCGAGGGGGTGTTTATCCTGCATAAACTCACTATTGGGCCCTTGAGAAGCCTCGTGAGATTGAGAAGAATGTACATTCTGCTGTTGGGTCAAGTTCTCTACAGATGTCAGTTATATTCAGCGGATGGCAATGTTGTTGCATTAATCTCATCCTCACTAATTTCCTGCACATTAAATCTGTCCATATCTCAGGGGTGTTAAAGTCCCCAACTATAATCGTGGACTTATCTATTTTTCCCTTGCAGTTCTATCAGCTTTGCCTCATGTATTTTGATGCCCTTGTTAGACACACACCTCAAGATTGCTGTGTCTTCTTGGTGAACTGACCCTTTCCTCATTGTGTAATGCCCCTCTCTAGCCCTGACAACTTCCCAGGCTCTCAAGTTTGCTCTTTCCAAGGTTAACATTTCTACTCCCGCTTCCTTTGGATCAGTGTTGGCCAGATACACCTCTCTCCATCCACTCATTTTTAATCTCTTTATATTTAACATGGGTTTCTCATAGACAACCTGTGGATGGGTCTTGTTTTTTGATCTACTCTAACGATATTGTCTTAATCAGTACGTTTAGAACACTCACACTCAAAGTGGTTCTGATACAGTTGGAGTAACAGCACCCATATTTGTTTCTGTTAAGTAATTGTCCTGGTTCTTGTTTAGCTTTTTTCTTCTATTCTTTCTTCACCCTTTGTGGTTTTAACTGAGTCTGTGTATGATTTCATTTTCTCTTTCTTAGCAGAGCCATTGTACTTCATTTTTTACTCATTTTAGAGTTTGCAATATACACTTACAATTAATCCAAACCCACTTTCAAATAATACTATATTGCTGCATGGGGAGTGTGAGTACTGTATAATACTAAAATAAAGCTGACTCCAGCCTTTCTTCCCCTGTATCATGACTGTCACTTATTTCACTTATACAGAAACACACAGTTAGCTCACATAATTGAATGTTGTTGCTATTATAATTATTCTGATAAAACTATTTTCTCCTAGATCAATTAAGAATAAGAAAAATAGGGGCCTCCCTGGTGGTGCAAGGGGTTAAGACTCAGCACTATGAAGCTATCCGAAGCCACTGCAGCATGAGTTCGATCCCTGGCCAGGGAGCTGACCCACATGGTGCGGCAGACCTCTCCTGTCTCCCCGCTGCTTCCCTCAGCAGTGTATTTTAGTAGACCCTCCTATTCTGCTCCCCACTGTCTCTGGTGAATCCTCTCACCCCTGCACCTCTAGCCTACACCCCAGCTCTTGTACGCATAAATAAATATAAATCTTTTTAAAAAAGTAAGAAAAATAAAAGTTTTTATTTTACCTTCTTATTCCTTCTCCAATTCTTTACATAGATCTGAGCTTCTGACCTACATCCTTTTCCTTCTCTCTAAAAAAACTTTTAACATTTGCTGCAAAACAGGGCTACTGACAATATACTCCATCAATTTTTGTTTGTCCAACAAAGTCTCTGCTTCTCCTTCACTTTTTTTTTTTTTAAGATTTATTTGTGCATACAAGAGCTGGGGTACAAGCCAGAGACTCGGGGGTAGGGGGTAAGAGGATTCACCAGAGACAGAGTGGGGAACAGATCAGGCAGACTGACTGAAACACACTGCTGAGGGGAGCAGCATGCGAGACAGGAGAGGTCTGCTGCACCATGTGGGTTGCTCCCTGGCTGGCCGGGGATCGAACTCATGCTGCAGAGGCTGTGGATAGCTTCACAGTGCGGTGCTTAACCCCTTGCGCCACCAGGGAGGCCCTTCTTCTTCACTTTTGAAGGATAATTTCACAGGACACAGAATTCTAAGTTGATAGCTTCTTCCCCTCAACACTTTCAAATATTTCAATTCATTCTCTTCTTGCTTGCACGGTTACAAAGAGACATGATGTAATTCTTATCTTTGCTCCTCTATAGACAAGATATTTTCTCCTATGGCTTCTTTCAGGTTTTTTCTTTATCTTTAATTTTCTGTAATTTGAAAATAATATGCCTTATTATAAATGTTTTGGTATTCAATATCCTGCTTAGTGTTCACTAAGCTTCCTGAGTCTGTGATCTGGTAACTGAGTTTAATTTGGGGAAATTCTCAGTCATTATTGTTTCAGCTAGTTCTTCTGTTTTTAATTTCTCCTCTGTCTGGTATCCCCATTAATTGTATTCACACCTTCTGGATTTGTCCCACAGCTCTTGGATTTTGTATTAGTTGGGTGTTTCTTTCCCAGTATGTTTTCTCTTTGTCTTTCAGTTTTGGATGTTTCTACTGAGATGTTCTCAAGCTCAGAGGCTCTCTCCTCAGCTGTGTCAACTAACAACCCATAAAAAGCATATCTCATTTCTATTAGTAGTGTTGACTACTAGCATTTTTGTTCTTTCTTAGAATTTCCATGTCTCTGCTTATATTGCCTCTCTGTTCTTGCACGCTGTCTGTCTAGGAAAGTCCTTAAGATATTAATCAGTTATTTTAATTACTGGTCTGATAATCCCATCACCTCTGCCCTATCTGAGTCTGGTTCTAAAGTCTGCTCTGTCTCTTCAAAGTGTGCTTCTTGCTGTTCAGTGTGTTTAGCCAGATGTGATGTAATGAGTAAAAGGAACTGCTGTAAACAGGCAGTTAGTACTGTGGTGGTAAGGCATGGGGTGAGGGGGGTAGTTCTGTAGTCTATGCTGAGGACTCATCAGTCATCCAGTGAACCTGAGCCTCAGGCCTGAGCTTCATGTGTGCTTCTGGGCCCTGTATCTCCTCTCCTCCCCAAGAGGGACAAGATAACTGGAGCTGTGTGGAGTTGGGTATCTCCCATCCCCCTGGTCAGTTAGCCTCTGATCAAACCCTAACAGGTAAGGTTCTGGTTAAATAGTTTCCCCAGAGGGCAGGCCATGTTAAGAACAGAATGTTCTGGAATATTTTAAAAATGGTTGCTTCCCCTCCCCCTCTGCCAGAAATATGGGGGTTTCTTAGACATTCATTGTGAGAACCAAGTCAAGTTCCTGGAAATAAAGTTCACAAAAGTGTGGGGTTCCCCCTACAACTAGGCCCACTGGTGTTTTTAACTCTCAGTGAGACCTTCAGCAATTTGTCAATTACAGTTCAAGTTTTCCCATCCCAGCACTGGTTGCAGGGGAAGCTTCTGTGCTGGTAAGCTGTAATTCTCTGGACCTGTTTCTCACCTCTCCAATTAGAGAGCGAGGGAGCAGCCTGTCCTGTGACCTCTCTTCTCTTACAGATACAAGAAGTATCACTAATTTTTTGGTTTATCCGGCCTTTCACTTGTTAGATAAGATCGGTGACTTCTAAGCCCCTTACCAGCTAGGCTGGAAACTGGAAATCATAATTTTCTTTTACATTTAAGCCAATTTCAAGGGGGTTTATGCTCTTTGCAAAGAAAAAAATCCCACTGAAAATAGTAACACTTGGGTAGCACTTTTGCATTTATAAGCATTTCCCCAGCTAGTAACTTTTAATGAGTAAATCAAGGCCTCGAGATAGGATGTAATTACCTACAGTTATATAACAACAACAACATAAAGTAGCAGAAACAGCCTGAGCTCTGATTGGCTCAGAGATAGGTAATCCAATCCCTTTATTTTACATATTAAAAAAAAAACAACAGGCCATATTCTTAAACATTCTTGGTAAAACTTTGATAGATGATTAGACAGCATCAATTATAAATCTACAGAACCTTTGACCTATCAGTCCTACTTCTGGAAATAGATCCTATTCACACAGGTGCACAAGTATGCTATTCCCAGCGCTGTTTGTAGGCAGAATTGGGAACAATATAAATGTCCAGCAATAAGGAAAAGATTAAATTGATTATAGCATAGACTGCTGTGGAAAGCGTCACAGCCAATAAAAAGAATGAGGTGGGCCCTCCCTGGTGGCTCAAGGGGTTAAGCACCTTACTATGAAGCAATCTGCAGCCTCTGCAGCATGAGTTCGATCCCCGGCCGGCCAGGAAGCAACCCAGTTGGTGCAGCAGACCTCTCCTGTCTCGCCTGCTGCTGCCCTCAGCAGTGTATTTTGGTCAATCTGCCTGTTCTGTTCCCTACTCTGTCTCTGGTGAATCCTCTCACCCCCTGCATCTCTGACCTGTACCCCAGCTCTTTCATGCATAAATAAATAAATCTTAAAAAAAAAAAAGAATGAGGTGGATTTATATGTACCCCATGAAAGGTCTCCAACATGTGGCGAGCAATGAAAAAAGCAGGTCTTATGAGAATAGGGAGAACATGACCTCATTCACAGATGATGAAAATGAGGAACGGATACACCTGCACATGTGTCTGTGGAGGCAGAGAACCAAAAAGCTTCTATACCCCCATCCTCAGCAGCTCCTTCTGGGAGGGCTCTGAGGACGAGTGATCTTCCTCTTCTGTCTTTCTGCATGGCTACAATGCATTGAGAATGCATTCTTACATTAGTTAGCCACGAGACCCACAAACAAAAATCAGGGAACAGACAGAAGATTCCATCCAGAGACATGAAATGCAGTGGTAGAAGATCTAACCCTGTCTCCCAATTCCTGCCCTAGACTCTTCCTCCACCTTCTCTGAATCTCCACCGCTGTTGCCTTTACTCTGAAAACCCCAGCAGGTCACCAAGTCAGATCACCAAGAGGTACTAAGTCACTAAGAGGTACAGGCTACCCTCAGGCATATTTTGCAGATGAGAAGACTGAGGCTTTAAGGCAGGAGGTTCCTGAATTTGTAGACTTTGCTATAATTCAAAGAGAGACCAAGAACTTTCTACCCTGCATCCTGGTCCCTCACACCCAGAAACCAGAAATGCAGGTTGAACTAAGAGAACTGACCTGATACTCCTCCTCGGTAAGGCCCTCAGCCAGGGCATGCTGGCGCAGCTGGTCAGGGTCCTGGGCACGGAAGAGGCGGCTGAGCAGGGCATAGATGTAGGGGGCCTCAGGAGAGGTCTGCAGCAAAACAGCCAGACCTCCATACCAGGCGGCCCGAGACAGGTGGTGGGCATAGAGGCGCTCAGTGGGTGACAGCAGGCGGAAGGCCTCACGACAGTCCAGGCTGGACACGCCAATGTCACTGGGCAGGATGTACTGGGTGTCCGCCATGGGCCCTGCTGGGAACCGTCACCATCATAGCTGTCATTAACCACATACCAACTGCACATTCTGCACTCCCTTGGCCCCATTTAATCCTCCCCCAAAGTCAACAAGGTAAGGAACACCATCATACCTGTTCACCAGATGGCGATCACCCAAGATTACTTGTGTATCTGGAGGACCATATTTGGTCTGTGGCCCCTCAATCTTAAAGATTGAATGCAACCACCTGGTATCACAGATGGGGAAACTGAGGCCCAGAGAGGCTAGGAGCTTTGCCTAATCACACAGCAGAGGTCTAGAAAGCAGAGACCTGTTATTTCTGGTCTCCCAGCCCAAGTCCCTGTGTGTCTCCCCTCCTCCCTCTCTAACCTCCTGGCCTCCTCTTCAGAATTCTTCTTTAGGTTCTTCAATTCCGCCCATTTGTGCACATGGACACGGGGACGCAAGGAGACTACCGACGGGAAAACCAAGGTTCCCATCCAGGCTCAGCCCAGATTCCTAAAACCAAATCTATGGCTTCACCCTTCTGGGCCTCAGTTTCCACCTCTGTAATATGGGAGTGATAAGAACCCCAAGTTCACCAAACTAGATGAGGTCGCCGTGGATGGGATGCACGCCGTGGATGCCTCCCGCGCTAAAAGATCTGGCTTGTACACTTTGCCTCTCACTGGCCCCACGCTCTTCCCGCTCATTCCCTTAAATCTCCCTTAACCCTCCCAAAGCAGACAGGGTACGGGCTCCACGCCCCTGCCCTCCCCCGGTGCTCCGCCAGGAGAGCGTGGAGCCGCGGAAGTTCAGAGCTGCAAGAACAGTCATGTCACGAGTAGAAAGAGTGAGACCTGGGGAGGCCAAGCAAGTGACCGAAGGCCTCATGGCTCTGTGGGGTCCCCCCGGGCCCCCCAATCCAGCGCACCCTCCACTCCGCTCTCCCTCGCGAGGAAGGCGTTCCCAGCCTCCCCGGCCGACTCCAGAAGCTCCGCCCCAAGAGCGCCAGCCCGAGTTCTGAAAGGGGTGTTAACCCTTCGCTGCCCGGAGCGCTCCATGGCCTCGGGGCCACAAGAATTTGGAAGGGGCACTAGAGAGAAAGCAGAAGGGGGAGGGTCCTGCGCTCGGCACCACCTCGCTCCGTTCCCCGAGGGTGACACGTTATGACCCCGAAACCCGGGCACCGCGCCTCACCTGCAGCAGCTGCTCCGTTCGCAAACTCACTTCCTGCTTCCGGCTCCCCCATTCATTGGGGCTCCGCGAACTCCGCCCCCACCGGCCAATTACCAGGCCGCGGGGCGCGGATGGGCGTCCACGCCAGCCAATGGGCGCGCTCCCCCGGCCCGCTGGCTCCCGCCTCCAGGCGCGACCCGGGCACGCGCGGAACGGCCCCTGCGGCCTTGGCCTTTTGTCCGCCCGCCGCGCTGGCGCTGGGCCGGGAGTCCCGGGGGCCGGCCTGGGGGCGGCCGGGGCCCCACGCACTGACCTGACAAGCTCCCCCGGCGGCGAGAGTCGTGGTCGGAGCCCCAGGGACCCTCACCCCCGCCCCCCGGCCCGGCCCCCAGGGTTCTTCGGGATTTTCCCCAGGCCCCTGGATCGCCGTCGTGCTGATGCGGTGACCCTGCACTCCGAGACTGTGGCCACCCCGACCTCGCTGGACTCGAGGGCCGGGAGGTGGGGGCTGCGGAGACTGCGGGGCACCGGGCTGCCGCCTGCCGGCACCGGGACAGTCCCGGCCAGTGCGGGGCACAGACACGCCCCGATGGCTTCCCTGCACCCCCAGCCGCCAGACCTCCTATACAAAGGGCCGAGGGGCCGGCGGGTGCTTGCTGCTTGCGAGTTCTTAGCAGAACCGAGCCCACGGGCCGTTTCTACCTATCTCGGCCGGCTCGCAGGAGGACGGCCTGGGTGGGGCATGGTGCGAGGAAGCGCTAGGGTTCTGGCCGGAGTGGGCAGCCTGGTGAGGGGCCCGGGTCAGGGTGGGCGCGGAGCCAGGTCACCTACGATGGGATCAGGCCTCCACCACCTACTGACTCCTGGGCATTTCACGGGAGTCTTGGCTTCTTTAGCCGGAAAACCACGATAATAAATATCTCTGCTCTGAGACAATTTTTAGGCTCGTGTCTTTTAGAGGAGGGTGCTGGAGAGGGGAGACCTGTGTCTAGATCCAGGGCAGCACCTGCCCACCCTGGGGCCCAGCTTCTTGACAAAGATGCGCAAGGCCCTGCTTGGACAACAGTGCTACTATGTGTTGGCTCTGATGATGTCATTGTAGGGGGGAACCCAAAAACTGGTCTGTCCTTAGGAAAATCACCGTTCTTCCTCCCAGTGCCTGAATTTTAATTGAAATGGATATAAAGTCTTCCCTGACTTTGGTGAAGTTGAACTGTGTACAAGTAAAGGAGGCAGTGCTGTCAGCTGCCACGGGAGGGCAGCTCAGGCCAGCAAAAGACCCAAATACTTCTGGAACCCCCAGACAAGCTGCGTATCTCTGGCCACAACTAACATGAGCATTACTGAGATCCCGTGCTGACGGCCTGACATGCAGCATTTCATTTAATTCTTGCAAAAACCCTGAGATAGAAAATTATCACTTTATCCATTGCACAGACGAGGAAACTGAGGCTAATAGGTCCATTGACTTCCATCAGGCCACCCAGCGTGTCCTCAGATGTCCCTGGAGTCTGGTCTTACTCAGACCTTGGCCACAGTCCCCTCCATCTGTTGTAACAAGTGTGCGCCCCTGTAAACAGAAATGGAAACACCTCTCTCCCTGGGTCACTCCACGGATTAAAAAGTAAAACTTCCGAGAAGCAGAGCCCGGTGCCTGGTGAGTGCCGGGTGAGCGGTTATTATTGTCGCTAGCGCAGGGCGGCACATGGCGAACATTCGGGATGGTAACCCTCGGGTCACAGTCAGTGCTCTGGAATCACGAGTCCTTTCTCCTCCCCCGACTCCTGACTGTCCACGATGGGGTTCTGAATCCCCTCCCTATTCATTTCTTCCCTGTCAGTGCAGCCCAAGCCTCTTCATCCAGCTTCCTTTCTGCCCCCTGTAGCCACCTGGAATCATTTCCCGGGTCACTTACCCCTGAGCCTGTGCTCAGCCTCTCCCTCCCACCCAGAGCGTTCCCCAGTCCTACACCAGTCTTTCAGTGAAGCCTCCCCTCACTACCCCCTCTCCCCGCCCCCTTGAGGCCTGCTCCCTGCCCCCCCCCCCCCAATTCTCTGCTTCTAGCACATAGGAAGCCATGCTGTTATTTGGTCATTGGGTCTGTCGCCCACTAGATGGGGACCGCACAGGCCAGGGAACTAGGTTTGACCATCTCCTTGGCCTCAGGGCCCATCTGACACAAAGTCCAGCCCACACTGGGTACCAGCAGATGCTGTTGCCAGCCTGCCGCCTACCAGTCACTCTCTCCGGAGCTGGAGGCATCGCATGCATGCGGGACACGCAGGATTCGCGAGGGCAGCCGAGCAGCAAGGTTTATAGAGGACCCAGGGCAGCAGCAGGTGAATGTCCGGAACTGGGCCGGCAGGCTCAGGGCACAGCCAGCCTTAAGCTGGGGGTCAGGGCCCACAGTCCCTTCACTCCCCCAGGGGCACAGTGTAGGCGGCATGACGCGGACCAGGGGTGGAGGCGAGCTTCCCGCCATCGGCCTGGAACACAGCTGGTGCTGTGGCCCCCTCATTCTGACTGGGATTGGGGTCTCGGGGACCCCCGTGGGGACCAGAGTTAAGAGGGGAGGAACACAGCCCATCCAATGAGTCCATCTGGTGTGGCCATGTGCCAGCAGGTAGAGTCCCACATGCAGAGCCCCCTGGGCTGCAGGAGGTGGGGGACCTGGGTGAGCAGGCGGGAGCAGTAGCAGGGGCCCCAGGGATCCTAGTCCAGTGGCCCCTGGAAGATGAGGCGGACACAGCCATGTTCGCCAGTGAGCCAGGCCCCGCAAAAGGGACAGGCCGCGTGGAAAGCGTGGGTGCCGTGGGGCAATGGTGTCTGCGCCCAGTAGCGGGCAGTCTTCTCAGAACACACATGGCCACAGGGTGCAAAGGCATGGCTGGGCGGCCCGGGGTCCAGGCAGAGGCCGGCCTCCTGGCCGAGCCACAGGGGCACGTAGGGGCCCACGAGGCGGCAGAGAGGACACTCGCGCTCTTGGGGGCCCCTCTCTCGCCGGCAGCCCCAGCCGTGGTAGCCATGGACGTGGCCGCAACGGACGTAGACCCAGGGCTGTTGCTTGTCAGGCGCCGTGCGGCCACGGGCCGGGCTGGGGAAGGCAAGGGTGCTGAGGCCCACGGGGCACTGGGGCCGTGCTGCGTTCGCTTCCTGCCGCTGGGCCTCCAGTTGCTTCAGTGTGGGTGCCCTCAGGAGCCCTGCTGGTGTGCGCCACAGCAGCGTGGCCCCACACAGGTCGATGAGGGACCCATCCTGCAGCTCGTTGGACTCGTTTTCCACCTGCCAGGGGCAGCAGAAGAGCCTTACTACCCACGAAAGCCCCAAGCCCCGGCCACCGGTGCTACCACCCCAGCCAGTTGCCCACTGGTCCCACTGAACCTCCCTGGAGAGGGAACCCTGGACCAGCAGAGTGGACAGAGGCAGAGGAGGGGAGGGCTGGGGAGGAGAAGGGGGTGCTGGGGTGGAAGAGTGGGCTCTGGGGGAAGGGAGTGCTGGGGAGGAGGAGGGGCTGGGGCAGAGGAAAGGGTAGGGTGAGAAGGCCCAGGTGCTCCCAGCATACATGGCCTCTCACTCTCAGTGGGATGTGGACCTTGGTCCCCTCATCTGTCCAATCAGGAGGTCTGGACCCAAATGGAGTTTTTCTAAACCATCTCCCCAGGCTCTCCCCTAATGGCAGCGGCAGGAAACTTCTGTGGGTCGCGCTGGGCACCTAGCCAAAGCCGCTGTCCAAAGGCAGAGCTAGGCTGCCTGGGTGTGAGTTCTGGCCTCACCCCTCCCTAACACTGTATCTCCGGGCTGATTTCCTTCTCCTCAAGCTGGATTCCTCTTCCCAGTTTCTTAAGTAGTCCTTAAGAGTCAATCAGTGTAAACACCTGGCACCCGCCGGTGCTGGAGAAGTGGATGCTGGTCAAACAGTCACAGGCGTATTTTAAAATAATGTTTCCTGGGGCCTCCCTGGTGGCGCAGGTGGTTGAGCGCAGTGCTGTGAACCTGTCCGTAGCCTCTGCAGTGCCGGTTCGAGCTCCACCGGCCGCGGAGATACCCACATGGTGTGACAGACCTCCTCTGTCTCGCCCGCTGCTCCCCTCAGCAGTGTATTTCAGTCAGTCTGCCTGTCCTGCTCCCTGTTCTGTCTCTGGTGAATCCTCTCACCCTCCCGCACATCTGGCCTGTACCCCGGTTCTCATATAAATAAATCTTTAAAACAAAAAATGTTTTCCCAAATCTCCCAAAAGAATCAATGCCCTGGGCAGCCATGCCCCCACTCAAGGCGCTGCATCCCCCGGCCCAGGCCCATTTGAGAAGCTTGGCCCGGAGCCTTGGGCAGGCTCTCTCCCCACCCCTGAGATAGGCTCCACTGACCAGAGCCTGCGGAGGGCTCATGGCTGCCTGAGCCCACTCACTGGGAGGACGAGGAGCGAGACCGTCTGAATGTGACAGACATGGTACAAGTTGCAACACTTTAGGCCATAAACTGCTCATACGCTGCCAGTGTCACCTCCCAAGAAGGTGTGATTTTTTTTTTAAACTGCCATATCCTCAGAGCCACCTGGAGTGCAGTATTTGTGTGATCTCCGCTGCACGTCACCCGAGGGTGCCCAGCAGTTTGGGGACTACACATGGGGAGGCTGGTTGGGCCCCTCTGTGAGCTGATGGGGCTCTCCAGTGCAGGAGGACCCCAGATCATGTCCAGGCTTGGGCAGGGGGACAGACATGTCAGGAGGCCCAGGCAGAGTAA